TATCGTGGGTTTGTCTCTTCAAAGCATCTCAGTTTTCTTTCTATTGCAAAACTTGGCAGCCAATTTTTGCAGCTTTTCAGTGCAGTAAATTGGCTGCACAAAACGCAGGTGGAATTCCAGCCGTGGAGGAAGCTCCACACAAATAGTTTGGCTATTTAGGGGCCTGATTATCCAGACTGCACTCCCAGAATAGTTGCTATGTACAAATCGGCCCAAATGCTTCCTAAATAGCTGCTTCTACTCCTCCTAACCTGTTTCACTGTGGAGCCACAGTGAGAAACACCTCCAGGGATGAAAGTGTGCTGGGAACCCAGAGGCAGCACACAGGCCTCTGAATAACAAGAAGACCCTCCCCCCAAAAAAGCATGGAAGGCATGGAACACATTTCTTTAAGTCTTAATTGCAGCTTACACAAGTACACTAAAACGCTCTCAAAAAATCAAGACTGTTTGCAAACTTACACCACAATGCCTCTTGGAAAGCTCCACACACAGAATATAATCCAAATTCTGTTATAGGACACAATTAAAATATACATTTATTTAAATGGCTTGTTTTCATCAAGCAGCTCACCCCAAAAAAGGGTTATTTTGTGTCCCCTGGACATGGATGGAGCCAGTGCTTCACTCAGGGGTTTTAATGGCAAAAAGAGGAAAACTCTTCAGGACTTTGGGATATTAAGTGATTGTGGGTTTTGTCAGTCTTGGTAGCTGGGGGAAGAAGGGCTGGAAGTGGCTTTGAGGGAAAAATAAAAGAAAGAAGATATTAAAAGATATATATATAAAAAAAGGGTTAAAAGGTTTCTCATAAGGCTCTTCTAGGAAAAGATTGGTCCCAGGTTAAATGACAGCCCAGCTTGTGTGCTTAGATCATCCCCAGAAAAACTGAGTGTGCAAGAGGAAATGTTGGAGCAGTGGGAATGTGTTTCTGGGGGGTTTACCTCCAAATATACAGAGAAATGGTGGTAAAGAAGTTGGAATTGCCCCAGCTGTGCAGCTGGCTCTGTCCCTGTGTGTTCTGGGAGTGTAAGCCTTGGGGACAACGTCATCAAAGTGCCACAAACACGAGGGGAGACCTTCCTGGGACACCCAGCAGGGAAACCAGAGGCTTTAGTGCCTGGAAGTACATTTTCAATACAGCTATTTTTAAATGCTTATTTTATTTATTATTATTTAAATGTTTATTTGGGCCTTATTGTGACAGTCAGCGAGGTGAAGGAGCTGATTCCTCCAGCCACATTTATCATCAGAACAGTCATTAGGGCTCCTGATGGCCAGAGAAGTGTTAAAACCTGCAGAGAACGACTAAATGATCCATTATGTTTTGGCAACTGCAGCCTCATTTCCTACCTGCTGTTCCTTTTGTGGTCACTCTGAAGCAATTATTTCAGATAATGTGGGAAACAGCCCATTTGTGAGAGTCCATCAAGAAATCATTATCCCACCAGAAGCAATGGACAGCGTGTCAAACGGGATTGGAAGGTATGGATTCAAAAGTGTTTTCCTTGTTTTCTTTAGCCTCTTTTTTTTGGGGGGGGGGGGAGGAAGGGGCTTGAGGGATGTCACCACATTCTGCAGAGTTTATAAAACACACCCATTGCCTTGGACAGAGCAGGAATTTGCTGTTCCTGCAGCGTCCTGGGAGAGGAAAAAAAAGAGATGTGTCCTGGGGTGATGGTGAAGGGAGACCTTGGGATTTAACTGGGACTGAACACCTTGTGCTTATGGAAACAGGGACTCCTGGGAGGCCCTTGGAAACAGGATTCTTGTATTTATTCTGCTGACTCAGGAAGTACAAACCTTTGTACCTGCAATAGGGCTTTCTCATACTTGTAGTAAATCTGCTCTTTTAACAGAAGGGAAGACAATGAACCTACATGATCTCTTTGCTTTTGTCAAAGGTGTCCTTTAAATTGCTTTACATTGGATACTTGGAGCTGTGCCTTGTATCAGGTACTGGAAAAGTTTGAAAAGTTTTTTATTTGTGATTTTAAATATGAAGTAACTTAGCCTTTTTTTTAACATGTCCTCCCTTGCCTTTTAATAATTTTTGTCTTTAATTCGATAAAATGAATGTGTAGTGCCTTCCCATTTCAGTTTTCTCCAGGGAAACTTCCTTTTCCTGTGGATATGAGTTAGGTGTGCTTGTAGAAAAGCTGGTTTAAAGGCTGTGGTTACTGCTGAGGAAATCCTAGGATTCTAAGCAGTGGCTTTGTGCAAATTGAGAGACAGTATTTTGGGAGAAAATCCCCTTGTGAGGCTGTTGGGGGACACCAGCATCCCTTGGCTGCAGAGCTCAGTGCAGGCCCTTGTTCAGTCAGGGCTGTTCAGCAAGTGCTGATTTAGTGTCTCTGTATTTCAGGAGGAACGTCCCTCGTACGTCACCTCCCTCATAAAGGGCTCGGGGAAAACACAATATTATCTCAGGCAAACAAAGGGGTTTTCTCTGCAGCTCTGTCACTCCAAAAGGAGCAGGCTGACAGCCCCATCGGTGTACATCCCATAACTCAACCAAGGTATTCAGGATTGGCTCAGATGGAGTAAAACCCTTCTCCTCCCACCGGTGTCCTTTCCAATTTATGGCTGGGGAGAGGCGGGAGGATGTTTGTGTGTGCTGCAAGAAACTACTGCTGGTTATCAGCCTGTGCTTTTCCCTTTGTTTATCTCAGATGAGCAATGTTGGGTGTCTGATCCAGACAGATCCAGACAGAGTTGCTGGAATGCTGCACAAAACAGGGCTGTGTTGATAAATACCTATTTGTTTTTTTCCTTCTTGGCGAGTCAGTGTGGTCCAAAGATGGGAGATGGGAAGGATAAACACATGTAGCACGGTTTGAGGGAGCAGGTGGATGGATAATTCCCAGCACAGCCTGTAAGCCCTGTGCCATTTGAATGTGTCATTACAGTAATGGGAGATTGATGGGAGCAATTCTGGCTGAGGGTCTTGCCAAAAGCACACATTGCCTAAATCCAGACTATTGATGCCTCCTCCCCTCCTCGAAGGTGCATTGGGGACACTGCAAGGAGAGGGGTGTGCAGAGGGGCAGGGGGTGTTGTTAGTGAGGGGTGGAGGGTATTACATGGGAAAAGGCCGTGCATTGTAGCACAAAACTTGTGACTCTGCATGAAAATAAACTCCTTTCATTCCAATTGCACTCTGCAGGTTGGGGCTGGAGTCACTCAGCACTGCTGACACCATTCACAGCCCTGAGGGAAGGGTCTTTAACTGCCCCCAGCGACCACCACTAGGATAGAAGGACATGTCCAAGGAGAAAGGCCGGAAGAAGGGAGGTGCAGATGGACAGACACCCTCAAACAGAGCACAAACAGGGATCTGCTGCTGCTGGTCAGGGAGAGCACCAGGGAAAGGTGAGTTTCACCCATGATAAATAGATGTATTTGATATATAATGGGTATAGAAATGTAAGGATGGATGGGAGTGAGGAGAGACAGACCTAGGAAGGGATGGGTAGAAGAACAGATGGATGGAAAGGACGACATATGGAAGGACAAAAGGATGCATGGCAGGCATCAGTGGAGGGAAGGAAGGTGGGAAAGATACAAAGTGGATGGTATGGAAAGAAGGACAGAAGGGAAGAATGAGTGACAGATGGAAGGAAAGAAGGATGGGCAGAAAGAAGGATAGATAGAAAGATGTATGGTAGGAAATATGGAAAGCTGGAAGAACCAGATGGAAGGACAGGAGGATGGAAATAAGAGTGGCAGAACAGAGGGATGGAAGCACAGCCAACAGGAGGAAGAAAGAGGAGTAGAAGGAGAGGAGGGTAGAATGAAGAATGGAGGGATGGAAAATAGGATGGAAGGGTAGAAAGTGGAATGTATGTACAGACAAAGATGGAAGGCAGAATAGATGGAAGGACATGGAAGAACAAAAGGAGGGAGGGAGGTTAAATGGAAGCATTGGCAGAAAGAAGGACAGAGATGGAAGAAAGAACGAAGGAAGGATGGAGTGTAGGAAGAAAGGATGGAAGGATGAAAAATGATGTAAGGGCAGATGGAAGATGGGGGTAGAACAGAAGGAACGACAGCAGGACAGAAGCTGTTGGAAGCAGGGAATGGAGGACGGAAAAATAGGAATAGCAAACTGAAAGAAAGGCAGACAATCACCTGTTGTTCCCAGGTTTGTCAGCCCTGTGGGTCCTGCCCCTCTCCAGTCTGGTGACAGCAGGGGACACACTTGTTCTCGATGTGATGCTGTGAGGTGACCTGCTGTGGGTGGACAGGACCAGTAACTTGAACCTTTCTGCACTTCATTTGCAAATGTTCTCCCGCAGTAACAAAGCCACGGTGTTAATGGGAGGTGGTGCAAGTGTTTCAGCACCGTCTGTGTGGTGAGAGAGGCTCTTCCTCCTGCCCACTCCTACACGGAATGGGGTGAGGAGAGAATGAGCCAGAGAAACTCTGCTGTCCTTGGCAGTGCTTACAACCCCTCAAGCGCCCCTGAGAGCTCTCTAGGGCAAGAGAGGACACGTTTGCAAAGGAAAATTTGGCTCCTGGATTAAAAAACTTGAATGTGCTTTTTAAATGTTACACTGCAATTCGGCCCGTGGATGGTCTAGTGAGATGGTCTAGTGAGAGCAAGTCTGACCTATTTGCTTCAGCATGAGCCTGGCTCTGGAGAGCTGGGCTTAGTTCACAGCTCAACCACAGGCTAAAAGATTGGACATGACGTGTGCCCTCTTTTCCCTTCTGTAATGAGAAATTATTACCTCAGTTCCTCACCCTGGTGAGAAGAGAGAATTCATTAATTTCCATGTGTTCTCAGACACTCTGATCACAAAGGTCACACATAAATTACAGTATAAAAGTAACTGGCTATTTGAGTGGGTTAGTCTAAGAGTTAACACACCGTGAAATATTCATAGGAAAATGAGCAGCTGCCATTAGGTCTGGATTAGTGCCTTGGAGAAGCTAAAGAAATACCTCACAAGCTCCTGCATATACTGCTTGTGGTTGGTTTATCAGAGATGCTCTGATGTCAATCCTGATCACAGTTCTCTGTAGTCACAATAAATCCTCTTTTTCAGCACGGCACATCCAACCCCTGCAGAGATTTTGCTCCGTCCAGGAAACCCCTCCAGCAACAGCGTTGTGGGAGTTGCCTCCACACAGGTGTTCAGGCAGATCCATCCCCTGGCAAACAGCACCAACAACTCAGACTGAAGTCAGGACCAAAAGGTAAATCTACTTTGCTCGTTGCTGTCTCTGCTTTATTTACATTTTATACTTCAGCAATTTCTGTGACTGGGTCAAATCAAAATGTGAAGCAGCATGAAATGTGTCCAAACATGGAGCAGAATTATCTCCATTTTCATTCCAGGTACCACAGATAGGGAAGTGCCTCATTAAAGAATGTATTTTAAACTTTTTTTTTATCCCAACAATATTTTATATAGGAGTCACTGTATATTTTGTTGGGGTGTTTTTTCTTTTTTTTTTGCTCCCACTTAAAGCCAGTTAAGTCTGTAACTTGACTTCATTGTCATTCTTTGTGATTTTTAACATCTTGCAATTTTATTTCCTCTCATGGGATTGCAGAGCAATTCCATTTTTATTAAAAAGAAAATCTTTGAAGATATCATGTAAAGATTGAAATGATGGATGGGAAAAGCTAAACAACCCAACACTTTCCATTTTTTAAAGCCTCGTGAGCTTTTGATGCTTCAGTCGTGATGATTTAATGCTTGGAAGCAGAGGGGCTGATGAAAACATCAGCCCAGAGCCCAGTCCCAGGGATTGCTGTATCCCAAACACCAAAACAAAGTACTTTTCTACCTGCTTTTTAAATTGCTTTTGGTCTATTTTGGGGTAGGGAGGTATTTTTAACCAAAGCTCTTCTGCTGTAACTATTCAAATGACACAATTTAACAACCATCCCAGTTCCCAAGGGAGGAGACAATGACTGCACAGGAAACAGGAATTCTCTCCCTCCAAAGCATTCCAGTCTCCAGTAAGTACCTGCTCCCACTTACAAGTAAAATTCTCAGGGATACACAGACCACACACTAGAAGTTGCCAAGGAAACCAGATTCACTTCTGATGCTACATGTTGATTATTGCAATCTCCTTATTTTTCTCCACCCACATACACCTTAAAATCAGTGTTGTCCTTCCTGGTCTGATGACCACGATGGCATTGCCACTGAGGACATGACACTGGCCTTGCTCCCTGAGTCTGGGCTGGAGCCTCTCAGTTTGAAAGCAAGGCACCAAAATTATTTTGGCAGTAGGTTACTTCAGATTGCCTTTTGCCCACACTGGTAGTCAAAATATTCCACGACAGATCCAGCTGAAGTGCACAAATACATTTCCTGATTGGGCTTGTGCTGTGAAACTGGAATCAAGCGAGGAAAAAAATTTAAAGTGATTAATTCCCTTTTGTTGTTTTCTTGATTCCTGAGTCTCAGCATATCCAGCAGTGGCCTTGAAATTCAGTGGGGGTGATTATTGACCTCAGGAAAGCTGGGATCAAAACTGCATTTTGGGGAGGTCCCCAGCTCCCTGGTTAAAGTCAGCTGGAGCTGGATCGTGCTGTCCCAGAGCGGTCAGTCTGCAGCAGCTGGAATGGCAGCTCATGGTTTTGGGTAGGCCTCCAGGCTGCCCAAATTACAACCACTCCATTGTTTATATATGGACAGCTATGGGGTTTGGAGAGTATTTTAAAAAGAGTTCCAGATTTTGATCTTACTCCTGATTTCCCCCCTACTTTGGTCACAGTTCTGTGCAGCATTTGCAGAGATACTCAAAGCCATGACCTTGGAGTGAGAACCAAATGAGCCAGCACAGCTCAGAGTGATTATTTTCCCATCAGTGTCACTGTCAGAGTAGTTTTGTTGATCTCTGGCTGTGTTTCTGTTTCTCCACTGGTTTTCCAAATGCTACAAGAGATGTAGCACGTGGCAGGATGGTGGAGAAAATGAAATTAATAGCAAATGAAAATCATGAGCCCTTTTACCCCCCTCCATTTATCTGAACTGCAGTTTTGAGAGGGTTTTACCAGACCAAGCCACAGAGCAGGTTCTTCCCAAGCCATGGGATGGCTGAGATGGATCATGGCCTCTGTAGGGATCATCTCCAGCCTGGGGCTGCTCTTAATGAAGAACAATTAACCAGGGTCTGGCAAAACCCCAAGGCCAACCCTCTGTTCCCTGAGAGAGCTGGAGTGTGTGTAACCAGCTCCAAACCCCGCAGAGGCTCAGGAATGCTCCCAGGAATGCTCCCAGGAATGCTCCCCAGCCTGTCCCGCAGATCTCCAGTTGTCCCTTTCCCTGGTTGTGCACACAGTCAGGAGCAGCAGCAGGGCTGGGCAGGTCGTTTGGCTGCTGAACAGTCCTGGCAGCTGCAGAGCTCCACGAGGACCGGGAAAGGGGAAAGGCAGCGTGGACTCAAGTGGAGGGTTCTGTGGAATGGAGCGGTTTGATGGGATTGGAAGTGGTTTAAAGATTGGATATTGGCAGGGGTTCGTTACACACTCACAGGTCAATTAACCAGCTGGACAGACACGGGGGGCAGGACAGAAATTATGCTGCGTTTTTCCTGCTGCTGCTTAAATCCAACTGCAGTGATTGGAGCTGGCTAATTCCAACCTGCAAAAGTAACATTTTTTAAACTGGTTTTGTACAGCCACTTACATCAAATTTCTTGCTTCCATACACACTGATGACCCTCACAAGAGACTGATTGGCATGGGAAGAAAAATAAGCAGTGACAAATTAACTCCTTCTTTCAGTGACTTTCCCCTCCTGAAGTTCCCTGGTCCCCTTTAGGAATTCAGGAGTTTCATCCCAAGCAAAGAACCTGCACAAAAAGCTTTATTTAAACTCCTAGGAAAATTAATCCATAACCTCCATCTGTCACCTCTCTAACAGCCTTCCAGAAAATATTGGAAAGCATATCTACATATTTCCTTCAAAACTGAAACCTAATGGTCGAGTAAAAAAAGGAAAAGAGGAGATTTTGCAAACAAAGAACATCTTTGTTGGTTGACAGCACTAAATGTAACTTGTCACCAGAGCTGAAATGTTGCATTAATAGCTCTTTTGTGAAAACACTGAGCTGAGTGTTATAAATATTGATGGGAGACCCTGGGCTTTGGAAGTGTGTGACAGATGGAAACTTTTCAGGGGAACACAAAATGGTCTTCGATGTTTCTCCCCCTTGAAATTCAAATACCCCCGTTAAATTCAAAGCCATTATTAGATGTATCAGCAGATAAATGATGATGCAGCAGGTAGAGCAGGGGAAAACATCCTTACCTAGGTGTGAGAGCCACTGCTGTCAGCATCCCTAAGGAACAGATCCGAGGGAGAGACCTCCAAAGGAGCCGGAGTGTTAATGGCTGTTGTAGTGAATTTGGGCTATTTTGTTTTTTGGAATGCAAAGCCTTGCTGCTCCCAGGGCCAGCCTGGTTGCCATGGTTACCTGTGACTCTCTCCCTCAACCTGAGGAGCCAGACTATGCTTTTTCCTCTGCACTGGATGTGTCCACATGGACATTCCCAGGAAAAACGGGAGCTGTGGGGCTGAATCAGCCCGCAACACACAGTAGGTGTTTTCAGGGAAAAGGAGGTAACAGAATTCCTGATACTCCATAGAAACACAAAACTCTATCACTCCACCCTCTCCAGCCTTTCAAGGTTGCTCAAAATCTCCTTCTACTCAGCACAATTGAATTCTTTTGAGGGAGGTGAGGCTGGACAGGCTTTCCTCGATGTCAGCACTGAAACCTCCCTCACTGCCCTGCTCGGGCACCTGGAATTGGCCCATTCCAGCTCTGGAGCAACAGGGAAATAGGGTTGTTGGAAAGCCAGGCATGTGCCACAGGAGGAGGCAATTCAGTCCAGGACAGAGGGAGCTAAAAAGGGAACACAGACCCCCAAACAGCACCAGCTGCTGCCCCAAAGGGGGAAAAACGAAAATAAATCAATAAAATGAGCTTTAGATACTCTGTGAAGCACTGGGGGATTTCAACACCCCAACGTGCAGGGGCTGCACTAAGACACAGGGAGGGATGTCCTTCAGGGAACTAAGAAAGGAAAAGCCAACTAACCCAGGGAAGCAAATGTGAGACTTAAATTCACAGGAAATCCTCCAAAACCAACGAGCAGTTTGGAGCTGCCCCCCTGCACTGAGTCTGAAGGTCACAAGCAATTTTAGACCATGATTTTAATCTTTTAGACCGTGCTTTTAATAAGCTCTAGCCTATAATTTAGCAAAGGTTACACACACTGTTTTGAAAAGGTATAAAGCACAATGACAGAAAATTCAGGTGCCATTTCACATCTTGAGGGAAATGTTTTTCAAGCACTGGGAGGCAAAATCCAACCCCAGTAAAGAAAGGGAAAATTTGGTGTTTTATCTTCTCTGTGGGACTTACGAAATGTTTATTGGCTAAATTGGGTGAGTTTGTCTAAGAATCTGCTATTAGACACATGTCAAAAAAACCAGCATTTAAAGAACAGCAGCTGTAAAGAACAAGACACTCCAGGTCCAGAAAAACATGAGTGTTCTGAAGTTTATCTTCAAGCAAAGCTGTTGAAATACAAATTCAGGCCTTAACACCCAGACCCTGTTCTCCAAGACAAAAGATCTGAATTTTTAGTTGACATGTACTTTAAAGAAGAATTTGACTGCAAAGATATAACAGACACAGAGGGGAAAATGCCAGAAAACAAACTCCTTGACCTACTTCCATAACAGAGAACACAGTATGCAGTATTTAAAAATCACAGGAATACTCCAAGGAGGATTTTTACCTGCAACAATTCCCAATCCAGGTATTGAGCTGGGTGCCTTAATCTTGGAGGTGTTGGATTGTACATTTCTGTGGGATTCGCATAACAAAAATCAATATATTTTATTCAGATAAAAGCCACGTCACTGTAGGACTGTTCAAGTCCTCCCACAGTTCAAAAATTAACCCTGAAACACTCCTACAAGGGTGTAAAAAGTGGGGCTGAGAGCCCCATTCAGGAACCTGCTGGAGCCTCCTCAGCTCCGACATTTCTGGCTCCAGACCCCACAGATCCTCGTGGATCCTGCAAACTTCTCCTTCAGCTCTGATTTATAGGCTGAGGAAATCCATGCAAAATGGAGCAGTAAAAGAAATTTGTGGGCTAATTTACTGCCTCAGTTTAGGTTAAGGTTTTAATAGTTATTTGCCTTTCTATTTTAGATAAAGATTTGTGAGGAGCCAATTACCCGAGGCAGCTCGAGTGGCTGTGACAGCTGAATTCAAGGCATGAGCTCCCCTTAGGAAGCACTGCCTGATTTTCTGATAGCAAGTGCTGCAGTTAAATACAGAGGCCAGAGCCTACATCTTAAAATGATGAAGATAATTCACATGGAACACGGCTTTTGAGGATAAAAGCTTCCCAACAGAAGAGAGAGAGAGAGATCATTACTGTATATTTATATAAGGCAGAGGTTTTTTGTGGGCTCTGTTGAAGCTGAGCCAATTTACACCAGCTGAAAACCCATCTCTAAAGAGTTCATTAAACCTCTGTCTCCCTGGCCCATTGCTCCAGGATTGGAACATTTGTTCCTCTGAAAGATTTATTATTCCCCTAACCCAAAATGGTACCTGGGATTTTAAGGCTGGGTGTGAAATATTGATGGTTCCTCTACTTTTCCCCACATCATATAGCCTGGGAAATTAAATATCAAATGTTTGTGTAGCTGGAATGTGGGTAGGAAAAAAGGGACCCGAGACTCAAACTGGAGGGTTTGAACTCCCCAGCCCCGTTTGGGGTTTGGGCTCTGGGCTCTGCTGCCCCTCAGAGCAAAGGGCCTTTCATTGCTGCCAGCTTGGGGTTTTGGGCTGGACTCAGGAAAGTCAGATGAATAATTTACACTGAGTTTTGATTGATTTTGTGTCTCTTTTGGTTTGCCAGGGAGCAAGGAACCAATTGCAGTCCCTCATTAGAAATCACTTCTGCTTAATTCCTGCAACTGCTTTGGGAGCAACTCCAATTCCGGAGGCTGGATCTCCACCTAAGCCCTGTCATCAGATGCTCCAGTCACGGGATGCACTTCCAGCTGGGTGAGCATAACTCTGCTTTTGCCTTGGGGCTGCTGCTCCAGCAGTTATGGACCAGGAGGAGATTGTCTAAATAATCTGCAACACTCAAACATCTGTTGCTTTTAGGCCACTGATGGAAACGGGTTTTGTGTTGCAATGTCAGAGCCTTCCCACAGCACCCAGAAAAGGGACAAGAGCCCTGAAAAGGGACAGGAATGTCCTCATTTTTAGTCACTACCTTTCTCCAGCCCCACCTTGCCCAGTGCCCTACACTGTCCTGTGTGTGTCCTGTCAGCTGCAGGAGCTCCAGGAAACAAAAGCTTTAAAATAATGGAGAATTAAAGCATCAGGCACTTTACACGCTCACAGATATTAAAATTAGGCCTCCAGCATATGTGGCTGATGGCATGGAAATTCCCAGGGGATCCACTGAAATCAGCCCCAATTATTGTGCGTGTCATGGTGTAACAAAGTGTGTTTGCTGAGCAGACAGTCACGGATCGTCGGGAACAGTCTGGCACCTCCAGCCCACACCCCGCTCCCCAGCCCCAGCCACACCCACGCTGCAGGATGTCACAGCCAGGGAGATGGTGATTACAGATCCACACCCACAGCCTGCCTTTCCATCCTGGAGGAATCGAAGGGAATTGCTCTAGTTTTGATTTGGCACGCGGGCCAAATCCAGAAATAACTTTGGGATAAAGTTCGGGAGATCTGGGACACGGTAAAGGCACATCAAATATTAAGCCTGTGCTTACAAAACACGAGTAACAGAGAACTATTACACTAATCCTTGCTAGGCTTAAACTCTCCTGCTCCTTCCAAGAGATTAAAAACATATGTCAAATCAGAGGAATTAGAGGCTGAACATTCCTTGTCCTACTTCCTTCCCTCTTTCAGAGGAGGTTGCCAGTCCGAGGAGTTGTTTTGTCCCACTCCTCGATCTCGGGGAGTACTGCAGGAATTCTGCATCTCTGTGCATTTTGAAATGTGGGCTTACATCTTGTGGGGTCAGGAGGAAATTTCCTCCCAAACACTTGAATTTCCCTGGGAAAGTTCAAGCTGATACATTTGGTGTCTCTGTCAGTGGACTGGGAAAAGCTTCTTCTGATCACCTGATAGAGACATTAATTTATTAATTGTATTATACATGATTAATTATATATTATCATATATATTATTAATTATACATTCCCATAACGTATAATTATATGTTATATTATTAATTCTCTCTCTATTATTTATTAATTGGATTCCTCTGTAGATGTCAGACACTTTCAAGTACTTATGACATATTACACCAACACTGCCCAGTCCCAAGAATCAAAAATTTATTCTGCTGTAGGTTAAAAAGCTGCTGAATTCCACCTGGGGAACTAAAGAGAGGGAAAAAGAAAACAATAAATCATGCTTTCCAAACCACAAAGGTTTTGATAGATATCCCCCAGAAAACTTTTAGTCTGTCACGTGTATTATGACTTGGTATTTTTTCTTGGCTGTTCTGTCATTATCTGCAATATATTTTTTAGGCAAAAAAAATATTTAATTTCACAAGTGAAATGCAATAGTGAGTAGGTTGGAAATTCTTCTAATGGTGCCATCCCCAGTAACTCAGAGTGCCATAAATAATGCAGGGTTCAAGCTCTCTGCATTTTTTTAGGGAAACCCCAACGTGTTACAAAATAATGAGAGAGAAGAGAAACACGTTTCCCAGCATCCCTCCAACTCCTCTGAAGCACCTCATCAATAACTTTGGGATACCCCAGCCCAGCAAATGCTGGGTGGTGAATAATTCAGGGGGTCTGGGCAGTTTGTGCTCCAGGACTGACTGGGAGCAGTTTGGATTTTCCCAGCACATTTTGCTCTGCAGAATCCCTGCTAAATAATTTGTGTGAACAGTTATTGCTGTTCAGAGCATTTCTGAGCACTCCCCTGTGCCTGTGATTGCATTTTGAGCTCTTTCAGACAGTTTTAATTGGGGGCATCAATCAAATGGTATAATTTCCTTTTCTTGACATAACCCCACTAATGAAGTATCTTTTTCTCTGATTTGTAATCCCGTGTCTAATCCAGAGTGATGAGCCCTAATCTCTGTGATTTGGGAGGACATTTGGGGACATGTTCATCTCTACACTGCTTAATTGCTTTCCTGAATAGAGGTAGGTTTAATATTAGCTTTAATGAGGCTCTGAATTAGCTTTTTTAGGTCATTAAAAAAATGTAAATTTAAAAAGTTACTGCCCCCACATGTCCACTTTCTTCACTCCATTTAAAAAACAAGGTGCAAACTGGCTCTGGGCCCTGGTTAATACCTCTGTGTGTCAGTGAAGCTCCAGGTTTATCAGTACAAGTAACACAAGATGTAAAAACATTCCCTTCACAATGGCAATTCAACTGGGGGAAGGCAGTCAAGGAAGATCCTTCAGGAAAGGAAAGAGCAAATCTTATATCACCAATAAAACCTGAAATTGCCTGAATATTCAGGAGCTGTGGCACTGAACATGTGAAGATGAGAATGGATTTGTAATAATGGCTTTTTAGAGGAGGATAAATATTTGATTATGTTGTCAATGCGTATTTCTCAGAAATATAAAAACATGCTGCACTCTGATGAATTCCAACTACAGCTGGTTCTAAAGCAGGGCAGGTTTTGTAGTGTCTCTGATCTCCCTTCCCCCAGAGCTGCCATTAATAAATCAGGACCAGAAAATGATGGTAAAGGGAAAGGATGTCGGGTTTTTGTTTGACTTTGGGAATGTTGTGCTCTTTAATTCAGTAACTTCAGGAGCCAGCACTGAACACACAGAATTAGGAACTGAGCTAAACAGCAGCAGGATCCTGAGTTTTCCCCTTTTCTGGGAACAACACACAAGTTGTGTGATGTTCATGGTGTTAGAACACGGCAGCAACAGTGCAGAAAAGGAGTGTTTTGAGAGTGGCCCCTCCTGAAAATGTCCGTGAAATGTAAGTTTTAAAGTCCTACTGGTAATAGAGGGTTATAGATGATTATTGCCCATTAGCAAGCCTAAGAAAATGACTCAGTAATAGGCTCTCAGTTTTAGTTGACGTGGGACAATTGTCTCATTGCTCCTCTCAGCTCACATTCCCATGGATTAGGACATGGAGTGGTTCTTATCTGTCACTGCTTGTTATTGTTGCCAATGATGTGTGAAATTGGAGCCTGACTGGAATTTTCTTCAGCAAGCTTGCACTGTTGGAGGATCAAAATATTGACAGCCTGATTTGATAATTGTGACTCAATTTGTTTCATGCCTTAGGGCTGTCATTTAAATTTTACTTCAGGATGATGTTGTACCATTTATGGCTTTTCTTCAGCATTATGTTGATTGAAGTTGCTTTTGGACCCTGTTCACTACATCTGGCTGAAAATTTCACATTTAATGCTTTCCATCTTAATGTTTTTCACTGAAAAATGCCCCTGTCTTTAAATATAAACTTTCCCCAGATTTATGCATGTTTTGGATGGAGTCAAACTTCACACTCAAGTGGTTTAGGAAAAAAAAGTCCTGTTTTTGTCTTACAGGAATGAAAATTGAATGGTTCAATTATTCATTCCAAAGCAGCTCTTCCTTCTGAAGCTTGGAAATTCCATTTCAGTGGAGGAGAAGGAAAACATGGAATATATTTGTTGAACTAAGGCAACTGGAAGACATTAGGAGCCCAGGGAGGGGTTTGTTTGTTTGTTTTGTGCCCCTGTCGGAGCAGACACCATTTTTCAACGAGCTCTGCTGTTCTCACACCAGATGGCTTTATTTTTCCAATACTTTCTTTTCCTCACATACATTTTCCCTGCACATGGAAAGAGGATGTGCTTGCTTTTTATTAATCTGCCAGATATCCAACTGTACATTTACTCATCCTGGCATCTTATCCACGCTTGGTGATGCAGTGGGTATTCCTAGGATGTTATGGAATAGCAGGAAGAGCCAGACTGTCCCTATTCAGTAACTATCATAGCTCCTCAAAGATCTGTTTGCCACAGAAACACTTTCAAGGGTTCAAATAATAAATTAAAAATGGGTCCCAGCATCTTGTTGGATTCCTGGAGCTACTCCCCATTTCCAGGGCAGTTGATTTTCATCCTTGTAAGGATTCAGTGACCTTTGACAGAGCCTCTGAGCACTCTTTCAGCTCAAACTGAATTAAGACATTACTGGATACGGGCTTGGTTTCCTCCAGCCCTTCCAGCATTGCCACAGCATTTAAATATGGATCTGGGTGGTTCTGAAGGAGACTCACATCTTGCTGCCTCAGCATTCCTAACCCTCTTTGCCATAAACAAGGGAGAAACTGCCTTTAATGAGAACACTTCGTGCCAAAAATTTTTGCAAGTGCTAATGTTTAACTATCTGATTGCATTATTAAGAATTTATTCTATTTTGCAACCACTGTTTGACATTCTCAGAAGACAGATCACCCTCATTAAGAGGCTGAGAAAGGCAGAAACCGAGCTTGGGAATGAAATTTAATTTGTCACTGAAACGTTAATATAGTAGCAAACACTTCAATTGTGCCTTCTGCCTTCTTGCTCCAGGATTTGAGGAGCTGCAGCTCTTTTATCCACGGGAGCAGTGTTTTGCTTTAGCCTTCCCTCGGTCCGTGGCACAGGAGTTTGTTGCTGCAGTAGCCAATGGATATTGGCAGAAACCAGCATTTTCTGTACAGTGAGGTAAGGGGAGAGCTGGGTTATAAAAAATAGCAAGCACAGGAGCACCACTGGCCTTGCAAATGCCTCTTGCTGCATTAGGAACAGTGTTTGTGCTCTGAGCATTGGAAGCTCCACAATGAACTAAATATGTCTCTGTCTCGAATGCTCAGTAAAGAGGCATCAATTCTACTCTCATTTTAAGGTCTCTGGTTTCTAGTCCCTTGTTTTGAACAGATATCACCCAGGACTCCATCACGGGACAAAAACATGCCCAAAATCTCATTTGAATTCTGCAGCCCCTCTTTTTCCCTTGTTTCAGATGTTCCCATCCCACGGAACTCATTTCCCAGCCCGGGGTCTGCAATGAGGCTCAGCCTTCAAAGCGTCAAACACACTGAAAACGGAAAAAAGCCACGACAGAAACAGCTACAGGGACCTGAGAGGGTCTTCTGGTGGAACCTGAGCCAGCTCTGCAGCCCCACAGCAGGACAACAATGCCAGGGAATGGGAATGAGCAAGCCCACGGCACGGACACGGCGGACGGGGACACGTGTGCGGGTCGGTGACACTCACACCGGGAGCAGCCCCAGCCTGCCAGGCTTGGCACCTGAACAAGGTAAGAGCCCCAGCTGTGAGCATGAGGCTGTGTCTGGGACATGAGGATTTCCCTGCTGAGCTGTGAGTGGGTGCTGAGGGCAATAAACACCCTCTGGGAGAGCAGGAGGTGCTGAGGGGCCGCGGGGATGAAAGGTTCTCCAGGTGGGATGAGCATGGAAGCGGCTCTGGAGGATGAGAACACTGAACACACCACAACACCCGCTGGTGTAAGAGAAACCCAGGAACTAATAGGATGTGATGTTCATTTGATTGATTGCAGTGCATATTGAGTGCACTGTTCACAGCTGATTTATCTTAATTTGATATTAATCACCAATACATTCAGCTGGACCAAAGCAGAATTATTTGCATTGCTCACCCCAAAGGAGGAGTTTTTCCAAAGGAAAGGGAATTTTACATGTAATCCATCATTAGCAATTAGTGGTAGGCTCTGAGGAAAGCCTCCTCTTACACCCTGGAGCATCAGGGATTTAAAGGCTGTGTGGATGTGGCACGTGGGGACACGGGTTAGTGGTGGCCTCAGCAGTGCTGGGTTATGGTTGGACTCTGATCTTAGAGGGCCTTTCCAGCCTAAAGATCCCGTGGTTTTATGGGAAACTCCCTTGAAAGCCACTATCCCTTAGCACTGTGTAAAATATGCCCTGTTCCCTGCTGATGTTCCAGTGCTCAGTTAATGATCTGGATCAATGATTTATAAGAAGCTGAACTGTGCTAACATTTCCCTCTCTATAATTGAAAAAGAAAAAAAAAGGAAATTGTGTGGATGAGGAGGAACAGCACGTGGGGGAAGTGCTAAAACTGCTCCAGGGAAAGAAAGGGACCCGGCTGATGTCTAATTATGAAAAGAGAATTACAGAAGTGAAATGATTCACTTTTAACAATAAGTGAAACAAAAGACCACCCTAGACAGCAACAAAAAAGCGAATTCCACAGAGGAAGGGGGGAAAGGCTGAATGAGTCAATTATAGCAGTGTTAAGATGGCTCAGGGCAATTCCAGGAGCCTGTTGCTGCTGGAAGAGAAATGGGAAGAAAAAGCACCAATTTAACCCTACTGAGAATGCAGGGGATGCATTTGTGGCTTCGGCAGGGCCAGGATTTCATGGCATTTTTCCCATCAGAGAACAAGTGTGCTCCAAGCTCCATCATTTCCTGGGCACTCTGCTATTTCCAACACCACTTCTGGAAGCACTTCCAGCTGAGAGGACAAGAAAGCTGCCCCTATTGATGCCATGCCATGAACAGCAATGAGCTGCACTGGGGCCTCTTATTCCCCTGGAGAATAAAATGGGGATTTTTTTATTTCCCAGTAATGAAAATGAGGTACAGGGCATTTTTGCTGCCATTGCTTCCTGCAACAAGCAGACAGGCAGTGTTTGATCCTCCATTAAGGAGCAAAACAAGAGACCAGAAAGCTTTTGGTGCTGTAGCACAAGAGATTTTTAATGTTAAAAATCATTCTGTTTAATCTGCAGAGTGTCCCCCCCATAATTAACCAGGTGGTGATTATTGTTGTGCAGTGCCAGCAATGAGATGGGTAAAGATTCATCCTGTGCCATGAACATTTTAACTTGAAACATCAAGTTAAGGAGGTCAGGAGCACTGACCAAGTAACAACAGAGTGACAGGGAAAGCAATGGAATGTGTGGAGTGAAAAAGGGCTGAAAAATGCACTTTAAATATATTTTAACAAACTTAAAGAATCAAATAATTTCTTTTAGGTCATATAATCACAACAAAGGAAAGAAAACAGAAAGAAGTTACTTTATATTTAATTATTATATATTTATAATGTTTTATTATTAAATTTTATTTTATATTATTACTTTTAATATGTTCTATTATTTTATTACTTTTAAGATTTCATATTATTTTCTTAATTCTATTATTTTATATTATTATAATTGCTGTTAGTGTTATTCTTTTATATTATTATTTACTTTTATCATATTATATTATTATATTTGTATTATATTCTTTAACTGTATGTGCAACATAAATACCAACACTGGCAATTTCCCAGTGACATTGCAGATGGGAGAGGCTGCAGAATTCTGGTATCTACATCAAATACAGATGACTAAATTAACCACTCAACCTCCCCTGAGCGTGTCTCCATCTAAAACAACAATTTCATTTGACTTTATTTTTAATTTGCAGTTTTTCCTGGGATTTTTTAATGCCAATTCCTTCCCCCACCCATACATTTATGGTAAATTGCTCTAGAGTTTGGGGCTTCCCAGAGTCAACAACAAGAACATCAAATAAATTTGGGTTCACTTGTGTTTTGAAAGCACTCTGGAATAAAAACCCCAAACATTTGGGGCTCCTCTGTGGCAGGAGGGAATGTGCCACTGGCAAACAGAGCAGCTGTCTGGTCACAGATCCTGGGGCTGAGGAACTGGCCAGTGGATTTTCCTCTCCTGCCTGTTTTCACAGACACACTGGGGAGGAGGGGCAGGCATTTGCTGAGGGAAAGTCTCCTTTTCTGGCCTCCAAAATGTATCCTGCTTCCTGCTCAGAGACAGGGAATGTGCTCCCTATGGCATTCCTCAGCCACACATTTATTACAGTAACTAGATTATACAATTAGAACAATTATATTATAATTACAGAAGTGACTCATTTCGTTGGTGCAGTTCCATTAGGCCTCGAATGCCCTGCAAAGGCTGTTCCTGGCATTTTTGGAATATTTGTGTGACCTTTACCAGAAGTCACCTAAGAATAGTTTCCTGTAGCTTCTCAAATTGTGGGCACAAAAAAACCCCTGCTCAGCATTTCTTAATGACAACCTCCATTCCTGTGCACTCTTTTTTTATTATTATTATTATTTTTATTTTACAGCAACACTTCTGGCAGCAGCACAAGGAATTCAGGCCCTTGCAAGAGGATTTTCAGGATGCACAGCACAACCTCTGTAAGTTGTCCAGCATAAAATACTGTTCTGCTTTGGAGTTTCAGTATTTGCAGGAAGGAAGGGAGTTTGAGCCTATTTAAGACTGAGGAAGGGAATTACTATTCAGGTGGAAAAAGAAATTGCTCAGAAAATCTGGACACTTTTATATCTTTCTTTCTCTCAACTGTATCTGCATTTAAGGGCCTTTAGCCTGTAATAAAAGCAATTAATTTCCTGACCAGCTCAGCAAAATGGATAAAGAAACACCCTCCAAGGGAGTGAGGATGTGAATCCACATATTTAACAAAACAGGGGGGAAATGCTGTGAGAGGTTGAACCTGAGTGAAACCTGTAAAATGTGAATTAATCTTTGTTGCCCATATAACAAACAAACATAACTCAAGAAAACATGGAATATGGAAGGAAAACCTACTTCTTATACCTAGAAACTATAATATTAAATACATTTTTTGTTGCCCAGGTGGGGAACACGCCCTGCCACAGATGTTTAACCCTCAGCAACACCAAATTCCTTCTTCTCCATACATGGTTTCCATTGCATCCTCAGTCAGGAATGCCTGGGTGATTTGGAGGGGCAAGTGTTGTTATTAGAAGGTAAAGGAGTCAATCCTAATTCACTTAGGTTTATTTTCTAAGTGGCTAAAGAGATGTAACATCAGCCTCCAACGAGGGAGGGCAGCTCCTGCGTGTGTGGGAATATTAATGAGGATTGGCTTGAGGTAACCAGCCAGCAGGATCTGTTTGCTAAAGCCAATTAGTTAGTAATCAGCAGCTTGCTCACTTTAAAATGTCTGATTATTTGGAAATGAAGGAAAAATACAGCCTGGAGAGCGATATCAAACCCAGTTGTGTGAGAAAATCAAAGTGTGTGGCTCGGATTTTGTAAGCTAATGGAGACAGTGAGGAGAATTGCATTAAACACAGAACCCGCCCAAACTCGGGGGGAGTTTAAATCCACTCTGCAAACTGGACTTGCCTCTGTGCAACACTTGAACTTAAACTGTGGGCTTGGATATGCTGCTATGGAATAAGAATGTTGCAGGTTACACTTTTCACATCAAAGGGCCAGGGCTGGATGGAAAACCCCTCTGTCTTTGCCAAAATATGTTCTTTACTTCCTTGGTGTCTTTCTGAAGGTCTCCAGGGGCTGAACACTTAATGGTGAGTAACCTTTCCTGGAAACTCTTGGTAGTTGATAGAAGTCACTGAGAGAGACAACCTGAACCACAGGACAAGGGACATCCTTCAGCTCCAGGCTCAGAGTTGGGAATGACCTTATTTCTACCTCCATGACGAGTCCCTGGGTTTGTTTAACTGCAGAGCAAATCCATTTAGCACCACTGTCCCCTACGAGCAAATCCTTTGCTGCTGCAGCCCCTGAGCCCTGCCTTTGGTCCCAAACCAACCACAGGCCAAGGCAAACCAAGATTTTCAGGCTATTTTGCATGTTTTAGCATTAAGTAATCCTCTGGTTGCATTAATATCCGTTCTCCTGCTCCCTCTCCAGCTGTTCCACAACATTGTCTCTTCAAACCCCATCACTTCCAGTTTTATCCAGGACAGAGTCTTTCCTGCAAGGTTTTAGTTGGCTTAAACTCTCAGGTTTCCCAGGATAAGGAATCAATAGCCATTTAATATTTAAGCAGCTTACAAGCCACGATTGAACTGTAGATGTGACATCAGTGTCCCAGCCACAGAGAATCCCTGGAAATCCAAATGCCAGTGGCAGCAAGGTATTAATCCATGTTGGGCTTATCTCTACTTGAGAACCAAGCACCTCACTTGGAATAAATACTGCTGATGATCCTCCCAGGGGTTTCTTTTCTCCCCATTGAGTGCATCCCTTTGCCTGGGAAGGTAAATGGGATTTGGGGCAGATCATTGACAGTGTGGCTTTAATAGAAAGACAGCCCAGAGCCAAACAAAGCCCCAGTGGTCAGAGCTTCGATCTCTCTGCCCGTAAAGCAGCAGCTGGGATCAATTATTGCCCACCAGGTGATCCATATCTGCTCGTCCATCTGGCTGTGGGGCAGCCCCTGCAAATATCTTTCCTGACTCTGCAGAACCAGAGCCCTCACAAAGAGTTCCCGTGCCCAGGGTGGAAATGCAGCCGCGTGGTCTGGACAGGCTGGGAGTTCAGCACTGAGAAACCACAAAATCATACTGCAAAAAACCATGATCTGTAAGTACAGAGAGACTTTTACAACACTCCTTCACACGCTGGTTTGTCCTCTGCACTCAGAAAAGCCAGCTCAAAGTGCAGCTTAGGCACAAGAAAGGGCTCAAGCAAACAGCTCCACTGAGCCCAAATTAAGGGCCTTCCTCTGCATCTGCATGTGTGCATTGACACAAAATGGTAGGAACAGGCAGTTTCCAAATATGTTTTCATCTCCAGTTAGTGGCTGAGAAGTGATCCCTGTAGGAACAGGCTAAATAAATATAAATGTATATATAATACCTGTCTGAAATCCGTAAAATGGTGGACAATAGGGATCTTTTCACATTACAGGCTTAAAAGCAAGATAATCCCTTCTCTTTTATAAGCAGTGTGAATACTTTCCCAGCAAACATTCTGAAGGTTTAAATGAATTCAATGGTATTTGTTCCAAGCCTTTAAGAAGAGGTAAGAAACCTGAAACAAGGGTTGTGTGGAGATAAGGAGCCTTAGGCCCTTGTAATCCTCAGCTTGCTTTTGTATCCCGAGAAAATGCAGGGCTTTGTTGCAGACAGTTGGCTGCTCCTTGGACATCACTAATCCCTTGGGCAGCAGTCTCTGCGTTTGCCAGCAAGGAAAACCCTCGTCATGAACGAGTTTTGTCATCTCCCAGTGCAATGAAGAGATTCCTGCAACACAGTCAATTGGTAAGTCCTTTCCTGGGTGCTAATTTGGTTTATTTTCCTGTAGAAACCTCATGGCAGGAAACAGTTGATTTGAGAATAAAGCAACAGGCAAGGCATGTCCCCCCAGTTTGCTTTTTTGCTGTAATTTCTCACTCCCTGCCTCCCTGGGGGTGAGCTCCAAGGGCATGCTCTGTGCCACTCTGGTGTTTGCCTGTGAGAAAAAACCTTAATTCTTATGAACTCTTGGCTTTTAAAGTTGCTTTATGACTTCCAGCTTTGAGGAGCTCCAGCATAATTTATGAGTTTCTGAGGGTGTTCCCTACTGACTCTGCCACAGCGTGGATTTTAAGCCACAGGTTGCTAAAAGCAGCCTCAATGACTCCTCTAGGGCTGGGAGGACACGGTGAGATTTTTCCAAGGCAGTTTTATTTAGGATTTACAGGAGCTGAATTAGAGGGAGGTATCAGCAGTCTTTTATGTGAGCAAATACCCAGTGACAAATAATTCCTGGTGGTATCCAGCCCCTAGCACCCATTTTTCCAGGAAGCCAAGCCTGACAGGTTGTCTTTAAGCTGGTATCAATCAGTAGAAGAGAACAGCTGATCACACACAAAGTACTAGGAACCAGCATCTGGAGAGGCAGAGGGACCCAGGATTTAGGATGCTGGTCAGGAACTGGGAGCGTTCTGCTCCCGGACACTGAGTGTCCAGTGCCCTCAGTGCAGCGGGAATAACAAAGCTGTGAATCCCCCCCAGTGTCCCAGAAGGAAAGCCCAGTGTGCAGCCCTTTGGAGTCACACGCTCCAGTTCCCACCCATCCCACAGGTAGAAAACAGATCCACACCCAATTCTGTATTTCTTGCAGAGCAGCCAAAGTCACAGTAAAATCAGATTAGATGAGAACTATCAATAAGAACTCGTTGCCTGCTCTCCCTCAGGATTTCAGGGGTGTCTGTGTATTCCATCTGACCCTGCAGCATAATTAGTGATGGATCCATTATGGTAAGGATGGCTCAGTCTCGGGAATGATACATTTGAGATCACAGACTTAGTAGCAGAGTTTTCCAAGAGAAAATATGTTCCTATCACATTTACTCCTCAATTACTGCTAATGAATACAAATAACTTGCTTACTTAAAGCAATTATAAACCTCGTGCTAAGAAACCAAAATTAGGTTAAGCAAGCACAACTCATTTATTCCCCATTTCTCCACTGGCAAAATAATTCAATTACATTTTGCAATTTTTAAGAATGCTCTGTATAAATCACTGATTTTATTCTAATACCATTATTGAAAAGGCTACAGGGTTTTTTTAGGAGCTGCAAAAGCTTTCAGGAGTCCAGATTCTCCCCACACCTGGTGTAAAAGCGGATGAACATATGGGAATGGTTTGGTTTGAATGTTCATTCTTCTCCCCACTTCTATAGAAGCATTTTGCAGATGTTTTCTTTTCCACAGATATTTGCCAGCTTTGTCAGGAACTAAATGACAGCAAGGAATCCAAACCTGCCTCATGGTGGGCAATTCTCTTTTGCTCTGACCACGACAGCCTTTCCAGAGGAACATAAAAGAGGAGCTTTTTAACTTTTTTGCAAGTTATTATTTTCCTGTTACCATTAAAAGAACCTGATGGCCAGACCTGTATCTTCTGAAATTCTATCCTTATTTCCTTTTATTTGATTTCTTTCAGATTTCTTTCTAAACTTTCCTCTTTGATGCCCACATGGAACTTAAAATGCTTTTTTTTTTTTATGCTGTCTCTCTGCAGAAGTTTCTGGCTCCTTAGGAAGGCACAAAGCTGTGCACACACAGGTTATGTAAACTCCTTCTACCTTGGCTGCCCAATCTTCAACAGGTTTGGGTTTATTTAGTGCCAAAAGAATGATAGAGCTGCATAAGTTTAACCTCTTTATCTTTGTCCTCCTCCAGTGATTTAGCTCCTGGCTCACCTAAATAATTAACTCCAGCAATGTCTTATAATCAAACTTTAAATCAGAGTCTGTGACCACTTGCCCTGGATTTATGCTGTTAGGATTTGTATTGTTGTCTTTAACTTTTCCAAAGTAACGGTGCTGGTTTATGTTTTGACATAACACAGACACTGAGGTGTCTCTTTTCATCATCCCTCAAGTACTTCAACTAATCAGCATTTCTGGTCCGTGGTTACAGTCTCCTGGCAACAAAACTTTATCTTAAACTGATCCTTGTTGTTTTGGAGACCCTGAGCCCAGAGCATGTTGTAGCTCTTCTTTTTACAAACACAGTACTTTTCCTTGGTTTTCCTTATTTTTCCTTTTTATTCCTCATTTGCCTCACCTATTGCTTGCCTGAAATAAAGCGTTGGGAATATGTGAGCATTTAGACACACACTTCAGATTCCTACTTCTGGTTGTGTTGACACGAGAAACAAAAGCAGGTCTTGCACAGAAACAGTGACATCCCCATTCCGTGTTTTCTTGTGTAGGATCAGCCCAGATAACAGGTTTCTGGCAGTGGGGTCACAGGAACACACTGTGGATTTCTATGATCTCACCCAAGGCACAACCCTGAACCGAATCAGGTACTGCAAGGACATTGCCAGCTTTGTCATCCAGATGGACTTCTCTGCAGACAGCAGGTACATCCAGGTATGTCTGGGATGGCCCTGGAGGGCGGGACTGACTGTGCCAGCAGGACAGGAGGGAGGCACGAGGTGTGCGAGGGCAAAGGATCCCCTGGGCGAGGGAACGGGGATGACACTGGGAAAGGAGCTGGGGATCATAACCCTGGGGGATGGCTGGGACTGTGAGAGCTCACCTGACTGGGGAGGTGTCCTCAGAAATGGTTCTGATTTAGTAAAATTGGGTTGAGATAAGGCAGAGAGTGTGGAACAGAAAGGAATCTGTCAGCTCTGCCAGGAACCATCTTCCTGTAACACCAACGTCATGTTGCACGGGATGGATTTTACACAACCAAGAGAAAGGAGAGATTTTATCCCAGATGTTTCATTCCTGGTCAAACTGGTTGCTGCTGGCAATCCTGCAGAGGATGCTGGATCTCTGGCAGAGGTCTCAGCTGTTTCCTTTCCCACTCCCAGGTCTCCACGGGCGCCTACAAGCGCCAGGTTCACGAGGTGCCCCTGGGGAAGCAAATCACAGACCCTGCAGCCATAGAGAAGATCACCTGGGCCACGTGGACCAGGTACAGCCAGGGACATCTCCCGCGGGCTCTGGCACACCCCTGGGGCTGTGCTGAGCACACTCCAAGCACACGCTGGTAACAGGCCCAGCACACACTAAGTACACGCCAAGTACAACCAAACACGTGCACACACCAAGCTCGTGCCACACGCACACCGGGACGTGCCAAGCATGTGCTAAGTACATACCATGCACACACCAAGCACATGCTAAGCACTCACACATCACGCACATGCCAAGTACACACGTGTGCCAAACACACACTGCAGACATGCTAATCACACCCACATGCCAAGAACAGGCTGTGCACAGGCACAGGCCATGCCACACACGCCACATGTGTGCAAACCCTGTGTGCCCCCTGCCCAGGAGGGGCAGTGCCATCAGCTGGTCCCTCTGGCAGCACGGAATGCTGTGGGAATTCCCTGGGGAGGTATTAAAGGCCAGGCAGAGCCCAGGGATGGGGTCAGTCCAGCTGGAGCAGGGGGTGGCTCAGCCCTCCTGGGCCCAGAGTCGTAGCACCGTGTGTGGAAAGCAGGGGGTGGGAGGCAAGGCTGGAGCCCAGACTGCTGGAAAAGTATTCCAAGGCACTTCATGGAGAGAAATTTAGCCAAATGTATGTATTTAAAAGCAAAATGGACTTAAAACCGTGATCCTTTGCTCATCCAATTCCAGAAAGCTGCAGCGTGCCCCCCTCCTGCTCAGGAAAGGCTCCCAGCTTTCCTGGGGGCCCCCGGGTGGATTCGGCAGCGGGGGTGGTCGGAGCCTCCCCCTCCTGCCCAAACGGCCAGGCCTGGAATTTGGGAAGGGAAGAGCCTGGGATTTTCTCAGTGTTTTCTCCCTTTGCAGCCCTGGTTTGAACAGCACAGGACTGGGCCAAAGCAGCTCCATCGAACACCCGGCGGGAGGGAGAGCAGGGACTGAACCTCAGGCACAGCCCAGGGACACGGGGGAGAGCGGGGATAAAGGCAGGGTGGTGGGGTGTGAAATAAAGACATTTTGGGGTGTGTGTGTGTGAAATAAAGACATTTTGGGGGTGTGAAATGAAGACAATTTGGGGGAGTGAAATAAAGACATTTTGGGGTGTGTGTGTGAAATAAAGACAATTTGGGGGTGTGTGAAATAAAGACAATTTGAGGGGTATGTGAAATAAAGACAATTTGAGGGGTATGTGAAATAAAGACAATTTGGGGGTGTGTGAAATAAAGACAATTTGGGGGTGTGTGAAATTAAGACAATTTGGGGATGTGTGTGTGTGTGTGTAACACACTTGTTGCCCCCCTGGAGTTGCACCACGAGGTGACAACTGGACCCTGGAGCTCCTCCCCAAGTGCCGGCACTGGATCCTTCCCAGGAGAGAAGGAACCACTGTGGAGGTGAGAGTGTGTGTGGGGTGTGATGTGTGTGTGTGTGTGTGTGTGGGACATGTATGTGTGTGTGTGCATGTGTGTGGGATGTCTGTGTGGGATACGTGTGTGGGGGGATGTGTGTCTGTGTGGGATGTGTGTGTGTGGGTGGTGTCTGCATGTGACCTGTGGGGGGGAATGTGTGTGTGTGACGAGTGTGTGGGGGGACATGTGTGGAATGTGTGTGTATGGGATGGGGGGGACGTGTATGTCTGTGTGGGATGTGTGTGTGGGATGTGTGTGAGTGAGACGTGTTTTTGTGACGTGTGTATGCGATGTGTGTGTGGGATGTGTCTGGGACGTGTGTGAGGGTGAGTGACGTGTGTGGCATGTGTCTGCGTGTGATGGGGGGGGGAAATGTGTGTGTGTGTGGGATGTGTGTATGGGGTGTGTGTGTGAGACGTGTGTATGGGATGTGTGTGAATATGAGTGTGTGTGAGACGTGTGATGTGTTTGTGACGTGTGTGGGGGGTGGGATGTGTGTATGGGATGTGTGGTGTGCGTGTGATGTGCGTATGGGGCGTGTGTGGATATGACGTGCGTATGTGATGTGTGTATGGGGTGTGTGTGGAATGTGTGACGTGTGTTGGGGGGGGTGATGTGTGTTTGTGGGATGTGTGTGGATATGGTGTATGGGATGTGTGGGGGACGTGTGTGAGACGTGTGCGTGGGTATGTGTGTGTGACGTGTGTGGGTGGGATGTGTGTGGGGGTTGTGATGTGTGTTTGTGACGTGGGGGGGTGGGATGTGTGTTTGCGGGATGTGTGTGTGGGATGTGTGTGGATTTGATGTGTGAGACGTGTGATGTGTGTATGGGATGTGTGGGGGACATGTGTGAGATGTGTGTGCGTGGGTGTGTGTGTGATGTGTGTGGGATGTGTGTGAGACGTGTGTGCGTGGGTGTGTGTGGGATGTGTGTGTGTGGGACATGTGCGTGTGAGGCGTGTGATGTGTGTGTGGGCTGTGTGTGACGGGTGTATGGGATGTGTGTAGTGTGGGGGTGTGAGGTGTGTGGGGCTGTGGGACGTGTTTGTGATGTGCGTGTGCCGTGTGTGTGTGGGCTGCGTGTATGGGCTGTGTGGGGTGTGTACGGGGGGCAATGTGTGTGGGGTGGGATGTGGGGGGGGATGTGCCTGTCTGGGTGTGTGGGGTGGGGGTGTGAGGGATGTGGGGGGGTGTGGGATGTGTCTGCGAGCACACACACGTTAACAATACGCTGAGCACGCACCCAGAACATGCTGAAACACGCAAACACACTAAGAACATGCTAAAAAAGTGAAGCATATGCACACACCAAGAACATGATCAAAAACATGCTAAAAATGAATGTTCCAGGGACACAAACATGCTACAATCATGCTAGTACCATGCTAAGAACATGTGAACTTCATGCTTAGAAAAAGTGAAACTAAGGTTTTCAGCATGCTGATCTTGGTGTGATTTTAGCATGTTATTTAGAACATGCTAATGTCATGTTAAGAACACGCGAAAATCATGCTAAGAACATGTGAAAAATCATGCCAAAAATATTAATTTCACTTTTTGTAAGCATGATTTTTCACATGTTCTTAGCATGACGTTAGCATGTTAAAAATAACATAGTAAGAACATGCTAACATCATGCTAAGAACATGCTAACGTCACGCTTAGGACATGTGAAAACCATGCTTACAAAAAGGGAAAGTATTATTTTTCTGCATGATTTTCACATGTTCTTAGCATGTTCAAAATGACATGTCAAGAACATGCTAACGTCATGCTAAGAACATGCTAATATCATGTGAAGAACATGCTAACGTCATGCTAAGAACGTGCTAAGATCATGCTAAGAACATGTGAAAATCATGCGAAAAATAGTGAACACAACAACACGCTAAGAACACACAAAAACACGCAACAACATGCTACAGCATGCTAAGAACACTAAACCCACGCAACACGCTAAGAACATGCAAAAACATGCTACAACATGCTAAGAACTTGCAACACACTAAGAACATGCAAAGAAGATGCTAAGAACTTGCAACCTGCTAAGAACATACAACTACATGCTAAGAACACACAACAGGCTAAGAACACGCTAAGAACACAATAACAAGCTCAGAACAGGCAACAACACACTAAGAACATGCAACAACGTGCTAAGAACACACCACGCTAACAACATGCAATTCTGGAAATTTCTGGAAAATTCAGGAAAGGAAATAAAATCTTAGAAAAGTACATATCTGGAAAGATCTGGAATTTTCTGGAAGGAAATAAAATTTCAGTAAAGGAAATTTCTGGGAAAATCTGGAAAGTTCTGGAAGGTTCCCGAAACCTCCAGAAATTTCTGGAATTTTCCGAAAGGAAATAAAATTTCAGGAAAGGAAATTTCTGGAAAGTTCCAGAAAGTTCTGGAAATTTCTGGAGTTTTCTAGAACATTCAGGAAAGGAAATAGAATTTCAGGAAAGGAAATTTCTCGATAATTCCGGAAAGTTCTGGAAAGTTCCGGAAAGTTCCAGAAATTTCCAGAATTTTCTGAAAGGAAATAAAATTTCAGGAAGGGAATTTCTGGAAAGTTCCGGAAAGTTCCAGAAAGTTTCGGAAATTTCCGGAAAATTCTGGAATTTTCCAAAAGGAAATAAAATTTCAGGAAAGGAAATTTCTGGAAAAATCTGGAAAGTTCTGGAAGGTTCTGGAAAGTTCCAGAAATTTCCGGAATTTTCTGAAAGGAAATAAAATTTCAGTAAAGGAAAGTTCCGGAAAGTTCTGGAAAGTTCTGGAATTTTTCGAAAGCAAATAAAATTTCAGGAAAGGAAATTCTGGAAAATTCTGGAAAGTTCTGGAAAGTTCCAGAATTTTCCAGAATTTTCTGGAACATTCAGGAAAGGAAATTTCTCGATAATTCCGGGAAGTTCTGGAAGGTTCCGGAAAGTTCTGGAAAGTTCTGGAAAGTTCTGTAATTTTCCGAAAGGAAAAATAATTTCAGGACAGGAAATTTCTGGAAAATTCTGGAAAGTTCCAGAAAGTTTCAGAAATTTCCGGAAAATTCTGGAATTTTCCAAAAGGAAATAAAATTTCAGGAAAGGAAATTTCTGGAAAATTCTGGAAAATCCTGGAAGGTTCCGGAAACTTCCAGAAATTTCCAGAATTTTCCGAAAGGAAATAAAATTTCAGGAAAGGGAATTTCTGGAAAGTTCCAGAAATTTCTGGAAAGTTCTGGAATTTTCCGAAAGGAAATAAAAGAAATTCAGGACAGGAAATTTCTGGAAATTTTTGGAAAATTCCAGAAAGTTCCAGAAAGTTCCGGAAATTTACGGAAAATTCTGGAATTTTCCAAAAGGAAATAAAATTTCAGGAAAGGGAATTTCTGGAATGTTCCAGAAAGTTCTGGAAATTTCTGGAGTTTTCTAGAACATTCAGGGAAGGAAATAGAATTTCAGGAAAGGAAATTTCTCGATAATTCCGGAAAGTTCTGGAAGGTTCCGGAAAGTTCCAGAACTTTCCAGAAATTTTCCGAAAGAAAATAAAATTTCAGGAAAGGAAAGTTCCGGAAAGTTCTGGAAAGTTCCGGAATTTTCCAAGAGGAAATAAAATTTCAGGAAAGGGAATTTCTGGAAAGTTCTGGAAAGTTCTGGAATTTTCCGAAAGGAAATAAAAAAATTCAGGACAGGAAATTTCTGGAAATTTCTGGAAAATTCCGGAAAGTTCCAGAAATTTCCGGAAAATTCTGGAATTTTCCAAAAGGAAATAAAATTTCAGGAAAGGGAATTTCTCGATAATTACGGAAAGTTCTGGAAGGTTCCGGAAAGTTCCAGAAATTTCCAGAAATTTCCGGAATTTTCTGAAAGGAAATAAAATTTCAGGAAAGGAAAGTTCTGGAAAATTCGGGAAAGTTCTGAAAAGTTCCAGAAAGTTCTGGAAATTTCTGGAGTTTTCTGGAACATTCAGGAAAGGACATAGAATTTCAGGAAAGGAAATTTCTGGGAAAATCTGGAAAGTTCTGGAAGGTTCCGGAAACCTCCAGAAATTTCCGGAATTTTCCGAAAGGAAATAAAATTTCAGGAAAGGAAATTTCTGGAAAGTTCTGGAAACTTCCAGAAATTTCTGGAATTTTCTGAAAGAAAATAAAATTTCAGTATAGGAAAGTTCTGGAAAGTTCCGGAATTTTCCGAAAGCAAATAAAATTTCAGGAAAGGGAATTTCTGGAAAGTACTGGAAAGTTCTGGAAAGTTCTGGAAAGTTCCAGAATTTTCTGGAACATTCAGGAAAGGAAATAAAATTTCAGGAAAGGAAATTTCTTGAATGTTCCAGAAAGTTCTGGAAGGTTCCAGAAAATTCCAGAAATTTCCAGAATTTTCTGAAAGGAAATAAAATTTCAGGAAAGGAAATTTCTGGAAAAATCTGGAAAGTTCTGGAAGGTTCCAGAAATTTCCAGAAATTTCCAGAATTTTCCGAAAGAAAATAAAATTTCAGGAAAGGAAAGTTCCGGAAAGTTGTGGAAAATTCTGGAAAGTTCCGGAATTTTCCGAAAGGAAATAAAATTTCAGGAAAGGGAATTTCTGGAAATTTCCAGAAATTTCCGGAAAGTTCTGGAATTTTCCGAAAGGAAATAAAAAAAATCCAGGACAGGAAATGTCTGGAAATTTCTGGAAAATTCCGGAAAGTTCCAGAAATTTCCGGAAAATTGTGGAATTTTCCAAAAGGAAATAAAATTTCAGGAAAGGAAATTTCTCGATAATTACGGAAAGTTCTGGGAGGTTCCGGAAAGTTCCAGAAATTTCCAGAAATTTCCGGCATTTTCTGAAAGGAAATAAAATTTCAGGGAAAGAAAGTTCCGGAAAGTTCTGGAATTTTCCGAAAGGAAAAAAAAAATCAGGACAGGAAATTTCTGGAAAATTCCGGAAAGTTCCGGAAAGTTCCGGAAAGTTCCAGAAATTTCCGGAAAATTCTGGAATTTTCCAAAAGGAAATAAAATTTCAGGAAAGGAAAGTTCTGGAAAATTCTGGAAAGTCCTGGAAGGTTCCGGAAAGTTCCAGAAATTTCCAGAAATTTCTAGAATTTTCCAAAAGGAAATAAAATTTCAGGAAAGGAAAGTTCTGGAAAGTTCTGGAATTTTCCGAAAGCAAATAAAATTTCAGGAAAGGGAATTTCTGGAAAATTCTGGAAAGTTCTGGAAAGTTCCAGAAATTTCCAGAATTTTCTGGAACATTCAGGAAAGGAAATAAAATTTCAGGAAAGGAAATTTCTCGATAATTCCAGAAAGCTCTGGAAGGTTCTTGAAAGTTCTGAAAAGTTCTGGAAAGTTCCGGAATTTTCCGAAAGGAAAAAAAATTTCAGGACAGGAAATTTCTGGAAAATTCCGGAAAGTTCCAAAAAGTTTCGGAAATTTCCGGAAAATTCTGGAATTTTCCAAAAGGAAATAAAATTTCAGGAAAGGAATTTTCTGGAAAATTCTGGAAAGTTCTGGAAGGTTCCGGAAACTTCCAGAAATTTCCGGAATTTTCCGAAAGGTAATAGAATTTCAGGAAAGGAAATTCTGGAAAAATCTGGAAAGTTCTGGAAGGTTCTGGAAAGTTCCAGAAATTTCCGGAATTTTCTGAAAGGAAATAAAATTTCAGGACAGGAAAGTTCCGGAAAGTTCTAGAATTTTCTGAAAGGAAAAAAAAGTCAGGACAGGAAATTTCTGGAAATGTCCAGAAAGTTCTGGAAATTTCCGGAAAATTCTGGAATTTTCCAAAAGGAAATAAAATTTCAGGAAAGGAAATTTCTGGAAAATTCTGGAAATTTCTGGAAGGTTCCGGAAAGTTCCGGAAATTTCCAGAAATTTGTGGAGTTTTCCAAAAGAAAATAAAATTTCAAGTAAGGAGATCTCTGGAAAGTTCTGGAATTTTCCAAAAGGAAAAAAATTTTCTTTCATAAAATTTTATTTCCTTTCAGAAATTTCTGGAACTTTCCTTTTCTGAAATTTTATTTCCTTTCGGAAAATTCCAGTACATTCCAGAAATTTCCAGAACTTTCCTTTTCTGAAATGTTATTTCCTTTTCTGAATGTTCCAGAAATTTTATTTCCTTCCAGAAAATTCCAGACCTTTCCAGATATGTACTTTTCTGAGATTTTATTTCCTTTCCTGAATTTTCCAGAAATTTCCAGAATTGCATGTTGTTAGCGTGGTGTGTTCTTAGCACGTTGTTGCATGTTCTTAGTGTGTTGTTGCCTGTTCTGAGCTTGTTATTGTGTTCTTAGCGTGTTCTTAGCCTGTTGTGTGTTCTTAGTGTGTAGTTGTATGTTCTTAGCAGGTTGCAAGTTCTTAGCATCTTCTTTGCATGTTCTTAGTGTGTTGCAAGTTCTTAGCATGTTGTAGCATGTTTTTGCATGTTCTTAGCGTGTTGCGTGGGTTTAGTGTTCTTAGCATGCTGTAGCATGTTGTTGCGTGTTTTTGTGTGTTCTTAGCGTGTTGTTGTGTTCACTATTTTTCGCATGATTTTCACATGTTCTTAGCATGATCTTAGCACGTTCTTAGCATGACGTTAGCATGTTCTTCACATGATATTAGCATGTTCTTAGCATGACGTTAGCATGTTCTTGACATGTCATTTTGAACATGCTAAGAACATGTGAAAATCATGCAGAAAAATAATACTTTCCCTTTTTGTAAGCATGGTTTTCACATGTCCTAAGCGTGACGTTAGCATGTTCTTAGCATGATGTTAGCATGTTCTTACTATGTTATTTTTAACATGCTAACGTCATGCTAAGAACATGTGAAAAATCATGCTTACAAAAAGTGAAATTAATATTTTTGGCATGATTTTTCACATGTTCTTAGCATGATTTTCGCGTGTTCTTAACATGACATTAGCATGTTCTAAATAACATGCTAAAATCACACCAAGATCAGCATGCTGAAAACCTTAGTTTCACTTTTTCTAAGCATGAAGTTCACATGTTCTTAGCATGGTACTAGCATGATTGTAGCATGTTTGTGTCCCTGGAACATTCATTTTTAGCATGTTTTTGATCATGTTCTTGGTGTGTGCATATGCTTCACTTTTTTAGCATGTTCTTAGTGTGTTTGCGTGTTTCAGCATGTTCTGGGTGCGTGCTCAGCGTATTGTTAACGTGTGTGTGCTCGCAGACACATCCCACACCCCCCCACATCCCTCACACCCCCACCCCACACACCCAGACAGGCACATCCCCCCCCACATCCCACCCCACACACATTGCCCCCCGTACACACCCCACACAGCCCATACACGCAGCCCACACACACACGGCACACGCACATCACAAACACGTCCCACAGCCCCACACACCTCACACCCCCACACTACACACATCCCATACACCCGTCACACACAGCCCACACACACATCACACGCACACACGCCTCACACACACATGTCCCACACACACACATCCCGCACACCCCCACGCACACACGTCTCACACACATCCCACACACGTCACACACATACCCACGCACACACGTTTCACTCACGTCCTCCACACATCCTATACACATATCACACAAACACACGTCACAACCCCTCCCCCCACATCCCCCACATATTCCACACACACGTCCACGCACACACATCCCACACACATCTCACACACACCATATCCACACACATCCCACAAACACATCCCACCCCCCCACGTCACAATCACACATCACACACACGTCCCACACACATTCCACACACACATCCCACACAAGTCACCCCCCCACGTCTCACACACACTCATATCCACACACATCCCATACACACATCACACAAACACACGTCCCACACAAGTCATATCCACACACATGCCACACCCCCACACACCCCATACACACATCCCACACACACACACATTTCCCCCCCCACATCACACACAGACACATCCCACACACGTCACTCACCCTCACACACGTCCCAGACACATCCCACACACACATCGCATACACACGTCACAAAAACACGTCTCACTCACACACATCCCACACAGACATACACGTCCCCCCCATCCCATACACACATGTCCCACACACACGTCACACACACACACACATTCCCCCCCACACGTCACATGCAGACACAAGCCACCCCCCCCCCACACACACGTCCCACACTAGTCATATCCACACACACACCACACCCCCACACATCCCATACACACGTCCCACACACACACATTTCCCCCCCACATCACACACAGACACAACCCACACAGACACATCCCACACACATCAATCACCCCCACACACATCCCAGACACATCCCACACACACATCGCACAACCACACGTCCCACAGACACACGTCACACACACACATCGCATACACACATCAAAAAACATGTCTCACACACACAGACACATCCCCCCCCACATTCCACATGCACACACACATTCCCCCCCACACGTCACATGCAGACACAACACACACACACACATCCCACACGTCCCGTCCACCCCCCACATCCCCCCAACACGTCTCTCTCACACCCCCCAACCCCCCCCACATCCCACACAGACACACATCCCCCCACACACGTATCCCACACAGACATCATGCACACACACACACACACATACACGTCCCACACACATCACACACACTCTCACCTCCACAGTGGTTCCTTCTCTCCTGGGAAGGATCCAGTGCCGGCAGCTGGGGAGGAGCTCCAGGGTCCAGTTGTCACCTCGTGGTGCAACTCCAGGGGGGCAACAAGTGTGTTACACACACACACACACACATCCCCAAATTGTCTTTATTTCACACCCCCAAATTGTCTTCATTTCACACACCCCCAAATTGTCTTTATTTCACACCCCCAAATTGTCTTTATTTCACACCCCCCTAAATTGTCTTTATTTCACACACCACCAAATTGACTTTATTTCACATACCCCTCAAATTGTCTTTATTTCACACACCACCAAATTGTCTTTATTTCACACACACACCCCAAAATGTCTTTATTTCACACCCCACCACCCTGCCTTTATCCCCGCTCTCCCCCGTGTCCCTGGGCTGTGCCTGAGGTTCAGTCCCTGCTCTCCCTCCCGCCGGGTGTTCGATGGAGCTGCTTTGGCCCAGTCCTGTGCTGTTCAAACCAGGGCTGCAAAGGGAGAAAACACTGAGAAAATCCCGGGCTCTTCCCTTCCCAAATTCCAGGCCTGGCCGTTTGGGCAGGAGGGGGAGGCTCCGACCACCCCCGCTGCCGAATCCACCCGGGGGCCCCCAGGAAAGCTGGGAGCCTTTCTTGAGCAGGAGGGGGGCACGCTGCAGCTTTCTGGAATTGGATGAGCAAAGGATCACGGTTTTAAGTCCATTTTGCTTTTAAATACATACATTTGGCTAAATTTCTCTCCATGAAGTGCCTTGGAATACTTTTCCAGCAGTCTGGGCTCCAGCCTTGCCTCCCACCCCCTGCTTTCCACACACGGTGCTACGACTCTGGGCCCAGGAGGGCTGAGCCACCCCCTGCTCCAGCTGGACTGACCCCATCCCTGGGCTCTGCCTGGCCTTTAATACCTCCCCAGGGAATTCCCACAGCATTCCGTGCTGCCAGAGGGACCAGCTGATGGCACTGCCCCTCCTGGGCAGGGGGCACACAGGGTTTGCACACCCGGGCACACTCACCCCCACACCCACACCGAGGCTCATTCCCGCAGAGCTCCTGCCCTCTGCTCTTCCTGGGAAAATGTGCTTTACAGGGAGCTACTTCCACAGGCAGTGGCCAGCCAGAACACTGGAAAAAGCCCCCAGGGAGCCCTGTTTCCCATTCCAGAGGGGCTCCCTGGAATGTCCCTGGAGGGCCCTTGAGCTCCTCTCCCCATCCTGCTGCTCCTGCTCCCGGAGCCCCTCGGCCCAGCCCGGGCACTGGGGCAGCTGAACTGAGCCCGGAGCTGCCCCGGGGGGGACTGGGACCACAGACATTCCCAAAAGGAAAGGAAAGTCACTCTCCACTTGTTACAACCTTCTGCCAGAACCAAAACCCCCAGGGACGGTGGACCTGGAAAAAGCAAGTTCAGCTTTTTTCACGGAAACTGTTCAGAAAGGAACAGCAAACGTGGGCAATGTCCAAACTGGCATTCAAGCCACTTAAAATTGCTGGTGTGGAACCACTACCAGATTTTTAAATTACCTTTCCTTGTTAATTAAAATAAATAAAGGCTAAAACAAACCATGTAGACTTACTTACATTTAGTCTTTGCAAAGCAATGCTAAATAGTGCTTTAGTCCCAGTTCAGGACAACAGGGTCTGAGCTCTGGAACCTTCCTGCCAGGCCACTCTGCTGCCACTGCATGGAAAAGTAGCGAAAACATCCCGTTAAAGGAGTGGATTCCTGCTTGTTTAACACACAAAGTGCTTCAGCAACCTCAAAAATCACCTTTTTTTACGGCTGAATTTATTAATGCCTTATATGACTGCCCAGCAGAGCAGTTGGGCACACACAGAGCAGTCCCTGTGCAGTCTGTTTTTAGGGAAACCTCTGGGATCCAATCCTGTTCTGTCACGTGGTGACATCAGTGAGCTCCTCTGCTGTGCTCTAATCAATCATCTTTGCCTTCCTTCCACAGTGATTGTATCCCAAATAACTGCAGTTGTGTGGCAGAATTCATTAATTAATTAATCAAGTGATGTGAAAAGTACCTTAAAGCAATAGTGTGTGTCAGGAAAACACAGTCTCTGTTTCTCTGCTCTGGCTTCACGTATGAAGTGTTCCAAGGAACGCTGTATTAAACTGTAAACTAAAACATTAATGCATGACTTTATATTTTCAATGGTCAAGATGCCATTAAAGGAAAATCTCTGTCTCAAATAAATTTGGATACAAGTTTTCCATGTCCAGTTCTTAAATCCAAATAGCAAGTTGATCTGGAAGGACTCCTGGGACTTGCTTTACAATTCCCTTCCAAGCAGAAAATGGCCCCAAACATTGTGTCAAAACCCAAAGAAACCAAGACCCCTCAGACTTACAGGGAGCTGGAGCTGCCCAAGCTGGTTCCAGTGCCAGGAGAGGAGGAGCCGGAGGAGCCGAGGGACACGCTGGCACCACCTGGAGCCACCCCAGCACCTCCCAACAAACAGAGGGTTAGAGCTGCCTCAGACACCAAGTACCCAGGGCATGTTCTGTCTAGAAGCTTTATTGAGACTCGGGGTTCTGGGGGTGGGTTTTTTGCGGTTTTGTTGGTTTTTTACATTTCACAATGCATTCCACAGACTTAGTTCAGTACAGCTCAAACTGCAAGTGTAGAAATGTTCACTTCTCATTTCTTGCATAACAGGACAGGGCTTAAAAGTTTCCAAACAACATTTGCAGCATTAGATACTCGGTCCACAGATTATCAGAGTCTGAGAGCTGGAGAATTATTTGCTCAAGATCAACTACTGTACATTTGTGCAACAAAGTGGACACTCAATCCCACATTTATCTACAGGTCTCTAGGGCTTTTTCCCTTAGAAATGAGGCAAACTTAGAGAACCTTAAAAACACTACAAGGCTTACCTGAAACACGTCTAAAAAATGCATCAAGGGTTTTGAGGGCTCAACTGCACGTTTCCAAGTGCCTCACAAGGAGCATTCCTGTGTCCCAGCCTTATGGGCCTGTGATACAGATCTAAAAACCAAATTGAAATACATTTATATATTTATAAATTAAATTTTAAACTTCCTCATGTTGCAGCTTTAGGGGGATATCTGCCCCTTGCAATAAGGCAGAGCAGGCTACTCCATTCAGTCATCTGTAGCCCTGATTGCCAGGGCTTCAGATCCTGTCAGTCCAGGCAAAAGCAGAGGATGGATTGGACTTGCCTCTCACTGTCCAAAGAATTTAACACACAGATTTGTCATCTGACTGAGGGGATGAGCATTATCTTCACCTGGATGCTACACCCTCCCTCACACACATATTTATGTTTATAGAGATTTCCTGAGCTCTGCTTCTTTAGACTCTCATGCAAAAAAAGAAAAAAAAAGGTGTTTTTTTGTATAAAAGCTACAGATAAAGTGAAAGACTTGTATGGTACCAGCAAAGTGGTTTAGGTAGTCATGACAACCATGTCAGTGCTTATAAAACTTCCCTTCTTCTTAATCTCTTTTGCAGTTCAGATAACACACATGTGAGCTGTAAAAACGAGGATCTGAGCTCCAGCCATGGAATGAGAAGCAGAATGTCCATAACACCAAAGCAGGGGGAGTTGAGACACTGGCAGTTCTCTGGAGTCAGGAATAACAAGTTTTGTCCAGTTCCCAGAGGGGCTCCCCAGTGTGTCCAGGCTTGAGAGAGACCAACAGCCTTGTCCCAGATTCCCCCAGGGAAGGAGGGAGAGGGTTAACCCTGATTTTAAGGGAAGAGGATCAGACACTAAACACACATATTATAAATGCAGTCAAATTCCCGTGTGTTTATTATTTCCTTCATCATCTGATGCCACGAGGGCTTTGCTGCTCCAGTCCCACCACAAGGGATGACTCCTGCAGGATTTGTGGGTCCCCAAGAATCAACATCCACATTTTTCTTTCAATCTCCTCTGCTCACGGCTTTGTCACTTGGTTTCCAATGTGGAAATTTAAAACCCCTCTCAGCTTTAGCACTCAGAGGTGGAAACCGAAGCCCAGCAGAAATAAATACCCCTCTGCACCCAGGGAGAAGTGAAGGACTTGCTTCCAGCAAAAAGGAAGAGACTGCTGTCAATGAGACAAACCAGCACCTCTCCAATCAAGTGATAAACTCACGAAAATCGCAAAGCTTTAAAGACCCAAACCTGTCAAGAGTCATGTGGAGCTTCAAAGGGAAAAACAAGGCTGGCATCTGGACTCTTTAATAACTGGATTTACTTCCACGTACCATTATTACTGTTAAGTAGAAGTTACTGACAAAAGTATAACTTGGACTTGTCTTTTATAATGAAATAACTCTGGTCAGCAGGTGCATTTTTTCTCCTTTCTCTCAGCTGTGAAGAATAATTGTGCCATGTGTAAGAATGCCCATATTTTATGTGATACTGAACTTACAAGGTCTCCATCAGCAGTGCTGGGGAAAGAGCTCCATCTTCTGGGAGACAGCCCTGCAGTGGCCAGGGAGGGACAGTCCCCTCGTGTCCCTTCTCCAGGAACACCCAGCAGATCCCAGGGGCTTCTCAGAGACGTTTCCCAGTGCAGGACAGTTCCTCTCAGAAATCCATCCCTGCTTTGCAGGTGGCAGGGCTGTTAAAACAAAGAAAAGGGGCTGAGTAAACCAAGATTTCCCAGCTGATCCACTGCAATAAAAGCATCTCAAAACCACCAGTGGGCACAACAAAAACCCCCGAGTAACCCAAATCCATGGTGGAGCTGGTATAAAATACAAACATCCTTGTGATAGTCTTTGCCACAAGCAAGTTCCAGAGTTCACATGATGGGAATCAGGGATAAAATACAAAAATCTTTACCAAGGTTAACACAGAACAGGAAATACCCGAGACATCTTCTCCAACGTGTAAAGACTGGAAGTCACCTACAGTTCTACAAAGTGGGAACAAATGTCCCCTGGTTTGGGATATCAGATTTAAGTGTCTTAGTGGCAGTTTGGGATGGAAGCTTTGCTTTTCTTTTGAACTCCAAAGCATCCACGTGGTGAATTTTCCCATTCCCATCATCCCAAGAGCATCTGTCCCTGCCCTGGTGATGCCAAGGAAGCCCCTTGGATAGGAATTAGTGACTTACAGCTGTGTCATTCCATCAGACTCTGCTTCAGCCATGGAAAGCTGACAAAGTCCAATAAGCAAAGAGCTGAATCACCTTCCTGTGAACATTAATGCCAATAGCTGAGAACTTTCTGTTAATTATGTACAAACCCATGACTTTATTCTTAGACATTCAGTCCTTTTTGTGCAGATTTGACAGCACTGCCATAACCACCTCCTTCTTTAGGTTCCTGGGACTTGCTCATTAACTACAGAAAGCTCTGGAGTTATCTTCAAGGAGAACTGATCCTATTAAATGTCTCCACCTTCTTTTTGTTCTCGTGGAAATAATGAGCCCGAAATGAATCCAATGCAGAGCAAGTCCCCTGGCTGGTCCCAGGGAGCTGTGCATCGTGTTCCTGCACTGACCTGGAGGGAGGGAACTCCTACCAGGCAGCAGATGAGGACAAACAATCCTCAGAGGAAAGCATCTGGCACCAGCTTTCCCACCTGAGGACTGCAGGTGATATCTCCTCCTTGTATTTTGGTTATGGGAAGTTCCAGATGACTATGGGAGCTGCTCCCTCTGTCCAGAGCTGGAGGACAAGGAGGCAAAAAGCCTGGAATACCTGCCAGGCCCCTTGGAAATCGCAGTCCAGGGTTAAGCTCTCTCTGCAAAGGCAGGGAGAGGTCAGACCTGTCTGGCTTACCATCCAAAAATAACTTTTTGCCAAGCTTTAATCAATGAATATCAAAAGACTTGCTGATCCAGACTATAAAACACAGTTTCAGCTCCTCATTTGCAGTGCAATCAGTTCTCTGGGACACGGATCCACAGGGAAACCCCCACTCCAGCTCCAACAGAATGTCCATAATTAGCAGACCCCTCTAACAGGGATTTCATCAGCACTCCATGGCAACGCTGAGGTGGCTTTGCTGTTCCTACAAGTCACAGATTCACAGGAGGAGGCAACAGTTGGCTTTGCCTGTTAATTATCCGGGAGGGCAAAGATAAAGAAACAAAAAGAAGAGAATTCCCAGCACTTTTAGAGCAGTTGCTTTACTGCCCTGAGACTCTGCTGCAGGATTTTCCTGCACCTTTTCCCAACACAACTTCTTTGACAAATCATCCCCTGGATCCTGCATTTAATCCAGTATCATTTAATGGAACGCCTGGGATGGTGTTTCACAAAGAGTGATCAGACACAGAGCTTTTAAAGTGACAACACTCCCCATTCCCAGGGATTCAAGGCAGAATTCTCTTCCTCTCTCCAAGGCCAAACATTTCAATGACCTTTCTCTCCCTGCTGGTTCCCGTGTTGTCCTTGGCTGGGGGTGTCCTGGTCGAGCACAGCGTTACCTGCAGCCACACTTCCAACACTGCGTGCCAGGCCTCTCCCCTTCTCCAGAGGGAATTCCCACCTGGAGCTGTTCTCTGCCAAGGGAACTGCTCAGGGGCCTCTCAGAAAGCTTTGCTGCCTGTTTGCTCCGTGGTGTAAATGACGTGGAGCACACAAAGCACTCGGAGCCACAGGCTGGATGCCAGCAGGGAATAAGTGCCCGGCACATCAGGAGGGAATACCTGTGGAGAGCTGAGCCAACGCCCTGCCGAGAAGATCCAGCCATGTTTTCTTCCCCTCAGCTCCTGCATCCATTCATTACTTCACAGATGTTCGAGTCAGGTGGTCAACGATGAAGAATAAAAATTCCAATATTTACCTTACAGTTGCAAGTGCAGCAAGGCCCGAGCAGCTGATTGCAAAACAAGGAATTAATGCTAAGCCAGAGAGGCAGCTCCGTGATGCTGCTGTGTCAGACACCCACCAAGTGCTGTGGGAAGCACAAGGTGTCCTGGAATTCCTCGGCACAAACCCCACGTGGGCAGGAGGGAGGCAGCCCCCCCTGGCTCCGAGGTGTCCCTGACATATGGTGCATTTTGCCTCGTCTGGGAGTAATTTTATTGCCTTTTTTTGCAGAGCTGTTCTTTTTTCAGCAGGACTTCAGAGGAGTGATAATTAATTTTAAAATAACCACGGGCTCTTTTCAACTTTTCCACACTACCAGGAGAGGCCCCCACTGGAGCACATCCACAGCCAACTCTAATTAGGCACCGGCTCGCTTTCCCAACCTCCAAACAGGCCTTTCCTCAGAGGATGGAAAATTTAATCAACTCCAAGGTCCCACATAGGTCAGAATTTCTTTTAGAAAAAGGATAAAGGTGCTCACACTTCCTTTTTATAGGGACAACAGAAGTGCTGAAAGGGGAAACCGAGGCACGGAGAGGGGACTTGACCTGCCCAAAATGTAGAGACTGAACACACAAAATACAGATTATGAATCTGCTGGCCCAATGTTTGTTTCCTCTGAATGCCCAAGGATCTGAAGAGAGAATTACGTGGTTTTCCACTTTTCTGAGGAAACAGTTGACTTCAAACCTCTGGGACACATCAGGAAGGTTTGACCAAAATCAGGAAGCCTGACCAAAACCTGAAGTGCCTGAAATACAAGGCTTTGGAATAGAATTCTGAAAGCCCCAATGCTCTGGCTCATGCCCTGACCACTAAAAATCCTGGGAAATTCACACCTATGACACCTTCAAAACCACAATTATTATTGACAGCTTTGCAAAATCCAGGATCACAGAATGGGCAGGAATGCAACACACTGGTTAACTCATTCTTTTTAAAGACGCTTGGAAAATTAGCTCCCTCAGTCACTGCCCTCTAGTGCCAAGCATCCTTTTTAGACCTTCTACTGCTGGACAAGGGTTTCCCAGTGGGCATTAATCCAGAGGTGAAAGTGCACTGCAGTTTGCAGCCCCAACATCAGGTGTTCGTGTGGGAGAGAGACATGGAGCAGGGTCTGCCTCTGGAAGGGAAACCAGGTGGAAAAGGCACCACAGCAGGTCCAGGGAAATCTCAGCAGGGAAGAACAGTGCAGTATGATCCCATCCCCTCGCTTAACAGTCCTACCTGCTCGTTGGACCAAACTGGAATTCCAGGCAGGGATGTTTTACAGCAGTAATTTCAAATATGGGTTGTTTTCCTCCCATCTCGATTCTGTGGGAAGTAAACAGAGTAAAGGTTATTTTCGTCCCCTACCTTCATTCTGGTGTATGTGAAGCAACTGCAGGGCCAAGGGCTGAGCCCCACTGCTCCTATTTAACGTTTTAGGGGAGATTAGACTGTTCAAAGGTAACATGGTTTGAGGGTCACTGCCCTCCCCCTGAAACCTTTATCTGTACACACGTTTCTCCAAGGCAGAACAAGTAAAATCTCTGTGTCAAACAGCTCAGTGTCAAAAGCCCGGTGAGTCATATCCTATAAAGTACAGAGATTCCCGGGAGCTTTGGGGGACTGGAGTAGGAGCAGCATGCAAACAATAAAGCAGAAAAAACACCCAGGGAAATGCTAATTACAAGGGATCTTTTCTGGGTCAGAATGTAGTTTACTTCCATATATGTGTAAATAGTCTACATGAGCAACACAGACAAATCCACCTCAATAAACCCACAGGATGAAATGCAGTTTGTGTTATAAAAAAGGAAAAAAGAAGAAAAAAGGAATATTGTCCCAATCTGATGTTCTGTGTCGGTGCCACTTACCTTCTAAGAATAAATGGTGCTACGAAAAGCATTTTAAAAAGCTACAACTGGCAATTTAACAGCTAAAACCTGGCATTTTAAAAGCTAAATTGGCAGGATATGAAGTTTCTCCAGGCAGCCTGAAAGGCCCTTGTCTTGTGAGACTTTTGGTTGACTAACAAAAAGTTTTGGTAGAAGAACCACAGATTTTGCATGGAGGAAAACAGAGAAATGAACAGATGTGGATCCCACTGGAAATGGGAAGTTATCACTTGTTCCAGCTTTTCACAACTCCATGACAACAACCCCCCAGGAACTCAGGCGACTTCTGCAACTGCAAACTCAAAGTCAAATGCTAATTCATCTCTAAATAAAGCTGATTAAATACTATTAGGTCGATTTGCAAAGCAGCTTCCAAGGTGCATAATGAGTGAGGTGGCTGTGCCACGTGTGTATTTTTAGCCCTCCTGTGTGTCACCTTTCCCACACCACAGCACACAGTCCTGACCGTCACCTCAAAGCTCCTCTGCTTTTATCCTGCACTCCTGGGCACTGCAGAGGTGAAGAAACATGGATCCACTGACAGCTGAGGCTGGTCAGGACCTCAGCAGTAACCTGATCCTGTCTCCTCCCCAGAAATCCCCCCACACCTTTACAGGTAAGGCCTGTGTTTGGGACCGAGACAACCCTCCAGAAAAACCCTCTATAAAAAACAAGGTGCAGCAGTTCTCGTTCTGCAAACCCTCAGTGTAAATCCAGGCTGATTTTACTGACTTCAGTGAAATCCTTGTAAAATGTTACAGACACAGGTGAAAAGCCTGAGGATGGATGGGACACCAAAGTGCTGCAATGCTGGATGGAAGAAAAGTCCAGCAACAGGAGTGGGTTTGTGTTTTTTTTTTTTTTTAAATCCTGATACAGAAAAGTACTTCAAAGAACAAACTCTATAAACACTTCAAGCATTCAAGTGATTATGTCTCATGAAAACCAGTGCAACTAAGGATATAAGACACATGTTTTAAAGCACAAGAGTAAAGTTTTTTCCTAGAATTGGCCTTAATCCCTGTTATTTTTTTTTCCTATTACAGTTTTCCAGCTGTTGTCATTTTGGCCCCATCCCTTCCAGGGCTTGCCTTACACATTCTTAGGAGCATTTCTTTATACCAGCACATGGACATTTATTGTTCCATAAGTTTTCTTAGGTTTAAAAATTGCATTTTTTTGATTCTAAGGAAAGGCAAAAGTCCCTCAAAACCTCCCATATATGCTCCCAAAAGTGAGGGGGAAGATGAAAAAAAAAAAAACCCTAGGAAATAAAGTGATGTTTGGTTAGGGATGGGAAGAGCTGAATCCTCCTCTCATGAGCTGAGCCTAAAGCTCTGCCCACAGTGACATTACACACATGGCCAAGTCGCCAGTTACAGTCCAATTAATCTTCACTTATCCCAGTAGGAATTAAATGATTCCAGGTGTGCTTTACACAGGATTTCAGTAGCTCAGTGCTGATCTCACAACAGAAAAACTCCTAAATGCAGGTTATTCACCCAGTGTGGGAGACAGAGACCCCCAAAACTGAGGAGGCTGCAGGGGGTGAAGATACACCCTTTGCCTGCAGACATCTGTAACTGAGGGATGGAGCCTTGACATCTTTACTGGGAATTGTAATTCCCCACAGACACGGCAGTTTGATTTCCCCAACAGCATTCTGTCCTCTCAGCCCAGTTGTGCAATCTCCTCTCCCTAAAAGCAGTTTGTGCTCGTGGAACTTTCCTCCAGTTCTTCACAATCTTGACAGTCAAGTTTGTGACTAAGAATTAAAGGCTAATGTTTGCCCTCTTCCCAAACTACTGAATTACAGCCATTCTCTGTTTCCATTCCTTTGAAGTCCATTAAACAACAACAAAAAAGACTTAAAATCAGCAATATTCCCTATGTTCCACATGCTTTGGGATAAACAAGAGATAAGACAAGAAAAGTGCATTTATCTAATTTTAAAAAAATATATATATACTTGCCAAGCAGTTGTGACTGCTACAGCTGTTCTAAGCCCAAATGCTACAGAGAGTCTCCAAGAATCAAACTAATTATTTCCTCCAGTTTAAGTGCATTTAAGGTCTGGCAGTTCCAAGGAATTAAGTCAAAATAGGTCAGCTGAGCTATTGAGAAAGACACCAAACCACAGAGCTTCATGGAATGGCAGAGTGATCCTGCTCTCCTGCCACCTGAACACTCAGTGTCCCTCTGAATCCCCAGGTACTTACAAACCCCTCACATTTGTGAAAGGGTCACAGCCAGTACTGTTTCAGAGCTTGGACTGTGGGTTATCCCACAGAATTCCAACACTTCACCTGGCAGTGACTTGTTCTCCTGACATATCCCTGTGGTTTCCACGTCCTGCAGTTTATCCCGAACCATCTGCTGCTCACATGCTCCAACTAAACCAAATTTACTGTCCCAGTGCTCTTGGGAGTCCACGGCTCTGCCCTTTTGTAGCTGCTGTGCTCAGCTCTTGAGCGTTTCCTTGGCATGCAAACCCCCAGCCTGAATTCAGAGCCTTTGCTCTGATGTAAGGAAATGCCACAGCAGAGGCAGAGCAAAGAAAGGTGTTATCTTAAAACAGGGCCAAATCCTGCTATCACATCTGCTGCCACCTCTGTGCCACGAGGAGGTTCTTCACCCAAACCACTGCATTGACCTGCAAACCTTTACTGGTTGCATTGAACAGAGCAGTTCTTTAAAGCCATCCATGAGGGTCTTAATACTCAATGGTTTTGAACTCAGTGTTCATGCAGCATGAACTGAAAGCACCCAAGACATCAGCAACTGTCACAGCCCCTTGGCCAGATCTGTGGGTTTCTCCTGGAATTCGTTCCCTCGCACTCAATCCTGATGTCCTCATTTCCATGCTGTCGGCAAACTGAACCTCAGGCCCTTCCAGGAATATTTACATCTTACAGACTGTTACATTCACTTCAAGTGATTCCAAACAGCACTTTGCAAAATGACACTTTATGGCATCATCTAAAACCACTCTGAAAACAAATTAGAGCCCCAAAGTTTCCCAGCAAGGGTTTTTGTCTAAAGGCCATCCCTCACCAACATTCACCTCTTAAACCTGCACTCGAGCTCTGGCTCAGCTCAGGGAGAGCTTCAGGAAATAAAACAAGAATCCAAACAAACCTAAACTGCTGAACATTCCTTAAGCAAGAACATCTTGCTGTTTCCTGAAGTGTCCCTGATATATTTTCCCCCAAAGTCTCCTTTATCACTCGTTGCTGCTTCATTTCCTGCTCTTGCTGCCCTGAAAGGTCTTTTCTTGGTGTAATTCAACAGTAAAAGACTAAACCCAAGCAGGTAAATCAAAGGCACGTGACATTTATTATAGTAATCTTTCCCTCATATCCTCCCATGTAACAAAAACCTTGGCAAAGTCTGGGAAAAAAAAAATCCACTCTGCAGTTAATTTCCTTTTTTTTTTTTTTTGTTAATACTTGTGATATGTCTCAGTTAGAAAAACACCCTTTAAATGCCAAAGTATCCTGATGGGGAATTTGGATTTTGGGCTTGAGACGAGCACGTGGGGATGGCAGAATGGTGTCAGAGTGTGATGCCAGGCTGGGATGAACCGGATACAGCAACTTAGAGATGCAGACTGTCACATTTCCAAAGGCTCCTTTGATCAAAGAGTTTTTCCAGCACAGCTTTTAATCCCTTCAAACCTGAATAAAGGTGAGAGCTGGTACCTCAGAAAGCAGCTTGTTACACCCTGGCACCCAGCCTGTCCTTTGGTGTTTTCAAGAGGCAGGATATTGTATCCCAAAAAGGGTTTAATTTCTGAAAAACAGATTAAAAAGAGCCCTTTCCCCTGCTATTTTTCAGACTCAGAAGGCCTGGCATCAAGTCTGGTGTAGCACAGAATTACTCCTGCTCTGCATGACCTTTGCCAGGGCTGTAAATTTGCTGCTTTTTCAGAAATTAAGCAGTTTTTAGGGCACATGGAAAAAATCAGACAGGTCTTCAATGCCAAACTCATGACAACCACCTCCTTCCTGATGCCCAGTCTTTGTGACATCCCATGGAATGTCATCTGGGTTAAACCCATTCATCTGGAATTTCTCATGCATGTCTCTGCTTTGACTGAAGACATTTAAATCAGATTTGATATTTAGGCAAATTAATTGTTAAACAGCACTTGAAACATGTCGAGTTTTACAATTTTAATGCCGCTAAAAAAGCTCATTGCAGCAGCAGCTGGTGTCAGCCTCTCTAAATGTACTTTACAGGAGAGAGATGGATTTATATAATTGACATTAAGCACCTTTGGACAGTTGGATCAGTTGCTAAGAAAACCCGTAGTGGACTCAAGCAATGCTTATTAACTAAGGTTAATCATATTAACTAATTGTGAGGGGGTGGAATGGGGGATCAACATCCACTCCCAGGCAGAGCTCAGGTGCTCCACTTCTTGCAACTCCCCAAATTAAAGTTCCCACAAATACAAAGTGAATGTCCATGGAAATAATTGTGTGAACACAGAGCAGGATTTTTAGCAGGTTGTTTAGAAATGGAAAACATGTGGCTGAACAACATGGCTTAGGGACCCTATTAAATGGGGTTTCCAGATCTCTCTCCTGCAGTGGTACAGTTTGGAACTTGGTCCCTCTGCAAGGGTATAATTAAACATTTCTTCTCCTTTGTGTTAATCTGACCAGTTGGAAAAGAGTTATTTCCTAAAGTACAGAGCTGCCCCCTCTGCAGATCCTGCTTGTAAAGAGCTCTGAGAGCACCCAACCACAACTGCTTTAATTATTATTTTATATTACTACATTATGTTACTCCCCAGGCCCCACTCTAAGATGCACGAACCTTGTCATTCATCAAGTGATGCTGCACGAGCACAAATCTTACAGCAGAGCTGACTGGTCTGGTGGATCTCAGGAGGGAAAGGCCATGAGGAATTCAGAGGGATGTCTGGAAAAGCAAGGGAATTTTGGCCCTGGAGACAGAGCTGTGGGCAAGGTCACCCCCATGGAAGTGGCTCTGGGTGCCAGTGCCAGCAGGAAGGTGCTGCTGTTAATGGAAAGGGTGTTGGGTCTGTATGAGCTCCATGGCCTCCACTGACTGTCAGGAGTGTTTGCTGGGTATCTGTGCAACAGGAAAAGAATCCAAAGAAACTTCCCCTGTCTCCAGAAATGGGGCTGTCTGAGCATCCAGCCTGGACTGTATCCAATTCAGCAGCCAAAGGTTTGGGAAGTTCAGGCAGTGCTGACTTGTGTAGTTCCATGTTCAGGCAGAAGAGAGAGAAAATGGTCTGGGGGTGAAAATTTCAGGTGAAGTTCAGTCAGTTTATTTAATCTTAAACTACTCAAACTCAAAGATCCATAAAATCCCCTCCTAAAATTTATTCTAATATTTGCATTGCTGTGTGGGGAGTAATTACCAGAGCACATTTATCTGAGGTTAATTGGTCATCTAGACCATGCCCTGCTGCATGTTAATTATCCTGCCTGCCTGGAATATGGTAAAAAATTAAATAATGAGAAAGGATTCACTTCTCCATGTTAATGCAACATGTCCTGCTCTATTCCAGGATATCAGGGGTCCCATTTTTATGTGCCTGAACAGGATGGAAGTGGATGCACAACGAATTGGCTGCATTAATGAAGCTGAATTAGGCTTTAAGCCTTACTTAGCACAAGGATATTAATCCATCATTACAGCAAAATGTTTTACATAGACCTCTCAGACCTCCTGAAAACAGACTTTTCACGTGTCAGGAAACATCTCTGGTCATAAAAAAATGAATCAAAACCAACGTGGCTCAAAAATTGCTCAGAAATAAGTATTTTGCAATACTCCTGTTTTTGGTATTTCTTGTTTAAAAAGCTGCAGTTTAGACTTAATACAGAACAGGTTAATAAGCAGTCATTGATGCAATGAGGACTTCCCCATCCAGAGAAAGAACTTCTCACCCAGAAAGTCCCATTGCCATTACCACACTGAATTTTCATTGAGAACCTGGTCTAAAGTCATCCAAAATTAATAACAACTTATGATAATGACAGGTCTTAAATTATCCTGAGCTTTGTGATCCAAGGGCAGGTCATTTGTAACCAGATAAATATTAACTCGGCGGCACCAGCACCTAAAAGAACCTTCTTTCTTCAAGTGACTTTTAAATGCCTAAATTTTCACAATGGAAATTTTTTTTTCATTCATTTTTTTGTCCCTTTTCCCTTTAAATTGAGCACCACTTTCCATTTAAAAGCACCTGTGGCAGAAAATGTCACAAAAAATAACATATTGCAGACACAGCCTCAGCCACTCTAAGTAAGAAGAGCCTCCAGAAGTCAAAAGTTATGTCTATTTATACCAACCCAGAAGGAAATTTTATTTTCTCCTCTGTGTTATTAAATCAGATAATCCAAAAGGATTTTGCTGGAGTGCAAAGCTCTTATTGTGCCTTTTGCACTCTGTTGGCTGCATAGGACATGTGGAAATGAAATTGGAAGCTATCTCCTGCAACATCTAAACCCTGCAGAAACCAAGTTTACTGTTGTTTTGTTTAAAGCCAATTTACACAAACACATCCTCAACTGGTGCTAATTACAAAGTTCAGCTCCCTCCGTTAAATTCACCCATTTTTCTCAGCAGAATTATCTTCCAATATTGATTTTATTTGGTCAACCCACAAAAAGAATCATGGGCTCAGCAAATATATCATAACCTGTATATTGCTAAAGTAACCCCAAGTTTATGAGTGATGAGGAAAACCAGAACGGGGTTAAACTCAGCAGGACAAGGCACAAACTCAGGCTCAGGCAGCAGCAAAGTGTTCTGGTGTAACTGTGTCAAATGAACTCACTGAACACCCACCCAGGTGATCTCGGACTAAGTTCCCACACAGTGACAAAAAGGAGGAATTAAAGCCATGGTTGAATTATTTTCAACCTGCAAGCTGCTGGACAAGGGCCTAATTATCTCATTTGAGACGCTGAGCAAAGGCTACCAGAACTGTAACAGAGTCAGAAAGGCAAACTGGTTTGAAAAGGATTACCAGGGTAATTGGGGAACAGAAGGAAACCGAACTGAGAGACTTTGGCTTGATTAGCCCAAATAAAAAAGAACGGAATTGCCACTCTAAGTGGGACGGAGGGAAGAGGAGGGAAAACAGCTCCACAAGCTCAAGTGGGAGAGCTACAAAACTTCCCAGGATTGAATGTCCTACAGAAGTCAGACTGGGAAAAATCCAACCCAGCAAACCCAGCCTCCTGCCATGAACTGCTGGTGCAAACGGGAGGGGTGCCCCTCCTGCAGCAGCAGGAAAGGGGCTGTGCCGATCCAGCCCCTCGGACTCGGATCAGCAGGACAGGCAGCTCCCGGGAAGCAGCAGTGACACACGCCCAGAGCAGGGAGCAGCAGCAGACACAGTTCTGCACTAGCAAAATGCCTTCAGTGCCATCAATCCCAGTCTCCAGTTTTCCCCCTGACCAGGCCGGTACTTGCAGAGCATTCCAGTCTCCCACTCTCAGTATTTCAGGATGACAGGGGCTGAGCTTGCAGCAGGAAATTACTGCACGGTTGATCAGTGCCCTGAGAAATGATTCCTGAGTCACACCTTCCCACTGCTCCTTGAAAACCCACCCTGCACATGGATCATCAATTCCCAGGAATTCACTAGGAACAGGCTCTGTTTGGGCAGGATGAATAGAACAGCAAGAAGTCACAGAATCCCAGGATATGCTGAGTTGGAAGGGACCCAGGAGGACCATCCAGTCCAGCCCTCAGCCTTGCACAGGCCCATCCCAGCAGTCACACCCTGTCCCTGAGAGGATCAGCCAAATGATCCCTGAGCTCTGGCAGCCTTGGAGTTGTAATTTTTAAGGACACTTAAAAAGCACCAGTAGAGGAGATCCCCTTTTATCCAGGCATTTGCAGGCACTCTGTGCCCACCTCAGTGGTTAGTACCTTCACCATCCCCTTACCTGTCTTTTTAAGGGTTGTGAGCGTTATTTTCCATGAAACTGTTCCCAAGGTCACTCCAGGCACTGCCCAGGTGAAGTGACTGGTTTGGGTGTCCTTGGCTTGGTCCTCAGGTGGCAGCTCATGAGAATTAAACACAGATCTTTGTTCTTGCTTTCCGAAGGAGCAGAATGGATTTTTCCCAGGAACAACCCTCTTTAATCAATTTTCCCCTGCTATGAACAAGTTTTCAGGCCCTATTAAACCAGCAAATGAAGCTTTGGGCACACCAGCCTTTCTTCTGGCTGAGTAGGCAATAGCAAACTTCAAGGAAAATGCAGGTTAGACACAGTTACTATCAACTAATGATGTCAACAAATTATGCAACTGCCCCTGGAAAAATAAGAGAACAACAACAAACCCAGCTACAAATGACAATGGCAATCACAGGCTCCTTCCCGCTGTAATTCGTCTCCTCTCCAGGGATATGAGCAAAGTAAACCAAAAAGCACCTTTTCTTCCTCCTTTTCTGCCACAAGACCTTCATCTCATTCCCAGCTAATTGAAAGGATGGGACACATTGGCACTAAAATTACCATTATTAATTACCATAATAATGATTTGTAATTATCCTGACTCCAGTGACCACATTTTTCAGTCCTTTGTAATGTAAATGTCTCACAATCCCATAGGATTGTGGGAAACCCAACCAAACTAGCAGTGTTGTGAATTACCTAGGAACAATTCCTGCAGCAAAATCAGTCCTTGAGGGAAACATGTAATTATTAATTACATTTACCAGGCACTTGGAATGCTCTGCTGTCACTCCCCACTCCCTGATGTGCCAGGTTCTGCCAAGTGCCAAGGCATTCCATGCTCTGATGTCAATCCATATGGATGTGTAATATCCACACTCACCCCAGCCTGGTTCATCCTGGAGGGAATTCCACTCATTCCCCAAGTGGTTGGGAAGGTGCAGCACTCCCTGGAAGCTCGTGGTCGACATTTCCTTTGATCTCACCCAAGTCCAGGGATGTCCTTCATTCCCAACATCCAACTGAGCCTGTTTGTTTGACCAGCTCAATGTCCAGGGCCTACAGGGACACAAGGATGAACACAATGACAAGCTTGCAGAACTCTCAGGCTATTTAAGAACTACTTTTTGAGTTTAAAAAAAAAAAAAAAAGAAATCTTAAACTCATTAACAGGGTCTAGATTATTTTTTTCTTTTTTTTTTTTCGTAAAAAATTTTCATTTTAAACATCCTGCAAAGGATTAAGTGGCAAACACCAAACTCGGCTTCCTCAGACTGGTGCAAAAAACCCAACACCATGAAGATTTACTCAGCAAACTACACATGAAGCTTCATTTCTTTGCAGTTGTTTCAGGGCACATGATGTAACTGCCATAGATTAAGACACAACCCAGAGCACCTCCCTGAAGGATTTATTTCCAGCATTATCAGGCCAGGAAGTTAAAGAGAAAGAACCAGGTTAAAGAGCTCTTTGACCTGGGGTCGGGCAAACCCCGTTAATTTTCACTGTCCCATTTACAGGGAGCAACTACAATGGGCCAGAACATCTTGTTCTATTTTGGAAGAACACGTGGCTGGAAAGGAACAGAGTCTAAACTGAACTAAGGAGGGATGCAAACAAGGCAGGAATTGGGAAACCCCCCCTGGATCATCTGAGAAGCCTCAAGCATTTCTGATGTGTTTATAAAAAAGTCTCTGCAGTTTTAGATCCATTATTTTCACTGACATCCCTTAATGCAGCACCTTATTTTCTGCTCCCGTGTCGATAATTACACGTTGTCTGCTTAATGCTTATTAAAATAAGAATTTACTTCATAAATACTCAGTTATTTTGGCTACAAAACCAGAGGAAGGAAATAGAGAATGGGATGAAGGGGGGGACACCAAGCCAGCAATTCTGCTGTCAGCTCGTTTCTCTTTGCCAGCTTTCATCAACATGAGAATTCTTTACCTGAGCTCCAGGTTAAGATTATTTTGAAGAGTAATGAAGAAACTAATAAAAAATTAGATTCAGAGCTTAGTTTATGAGCAGATTAAAACCAGTGCCTCCTCCTGGGAATCATAAATTGCCTAAACCCCCAATTTTTTCACTGGAATTTGCCTGTATGGTGCCAAGCTCCCTGCAGGAGCATGTGAGGGGTTCCTGAGCAATTAGAACTTTAAGAATTGGCTTAGACCCAAGGGCCTGAATGAAACCAGAGAGGAAAAAATGTAAACAGGAAAAAAAAAAGAGATCTTTTAGATACATCTTTATGGAATTCAGGGAGAATTACCTGAGGGCTGGACTGGGAGAAGGGTGTTGAGCTGTTGCATTCTGGTTACTTCTCCCATGTTCGTCCATCTAATCCCACGGCTGATATTCCTGGCTGGAACTGCTTGGCTGAGCCAGGCAGGCAGGGTTTGGCTGCAGTCCCGGCTGTGGATCGGCTCAGGTTCAAGGAGAGGGGAATGATATAAAGGTTAAGGCAAGGATTTAACAGAGCTGCTTAAAAAGCAGAGCAAAATGGGAGAGAATGGAGCTAAGGATGCAACCTGAGAGAAGGAACACTGAGAAAATGTAGGCTTTTCCCTACAAAGACAATACCAGGGAAGTGGATCCATTATTTCAGCACAATTACTCTGAAGTACCTGTTGGAGCTGGGATCTGACATTACACAGAGCTCAGGCTGTGCTGGTCAGGTGTGAACCTTCAAAGACAGAACCAGCCCCACGTTCTACCCGTGCTTGGGATGCCCGAGGAATATCTGAACATCTGCAGGGAAGTTTGTTTCCATGGATACTTCCACCTCTAACCCCGCTGTGTTCCAGTTAAAGTCCCTCTCGGGTTTGGCAGAGACTCAACATTTGGATGAAACTGAATTATTTTGCAAAAAATACAAATGAGGAAAAAAATTCACCCGACGGGGCAAAGGGGAAAGAAGGAGAAGGATGCTTTTAATTGGACTAAAATTTCATACCCAGGAAATTTTAAAGTAAGGAATCTGGCAAGACAATACCTGATTGACGTGGAGGAAAACACTGGAAATGTTTAACTGTAAAGGAAACAAAGGGTATAGACCTCGAGGGGAAAGAACAGATCCAGCAATGTTTGTTGTTATGTTGGCTGGTGCAATTTAATATCTTTATTAATGAACTGGAGGAAAAAATCCAGTTGGATATTGATGAAACGTAGAGATGATCCCAAACCATAAAGCATGGAAAAAAAATATCAGAAAGGGGATAATTTTGCTCAGACAAAGATGTGCATTAATTAGAACTGAGACTATAAATAAAAATTAGAGTTTTGATCATCTTTCTGTACGTAGGAGATTCCCAAGTGATTTCAATAATTAGATCTAAACTTTCAGGCAACATTTATTGCTAAAATCAAGATGTAAAGGAAAGAGGGATTAGACACAGAGTGTGCTTTATAATATAGGCAATGAAATGAAGAAAAGAGGTTTTTCTGTGGTTGAGGCGGGCACAGAACTTGCAGAAATGGCTGTTAGACAAAAGAAATAAATAACTTTTACTGGCAGTAATTAGACAATAAAATAGCTGATGGAAATTCAGCAAAAAGATAGAAAAGCCAACCTTCAACAAAAGATTCTTCCATAAAGGAGGTGACTGTGTTTAGTCTTCTATTCAGGGGGCATTCCAAGCCTCCTATCAACCATTTAGAATTTTAATTTCACTGCCTGTCTAGTTCAAAGATGCCATTTTAGATTTTTTCTTCCTTTTTATTCTCATGCAATTGACCTTTTTACCATTAAGTGGAACAAACCTGCCAGAATCAGCTACAAGAGAAATCGGCTCTTCAGCCACTGCAAAAAAGGCAGAAACCACCTACAATTAATTTGCCACCGAAGTTACTCACATCCCACCTCATTTGGGTTTAAAAAAGAGAAACAATCACCTGCCTTTGTTAAAAACTACTGGATTAGCTCTCCAAATGTTGAATATTCAAAACTGTGTCATTTTTCAAAGTTGTCAAAATAGAAAATTGCTTTATGAGAGAGTCTGAACTGCAGCAAGACCTTCAAATCCTCATCCCGGCAGGTCCTCACTGAGGGGAAGCTGAAACACGTGAAAATACAGACAGGACGTGGCTCTGTGGCAGCTCTGCAGGTTCAAACTTAACTGGTCTCTCGTGGAGAGCCAAGAAGAGCAAATTTGCAATTTTACCTCATAAAGTATAATACCAAGTGCAGATTTTATGATGGCCATGACTCAAAGGAAGCCAAGGTGGTTTATTTTTTTTAAATAATGCATAAAACTAAGTAACCAACCCCAAGAAATCTGCTTGGGGTATAGATCAAATCCAGGCCATCTGTGCTGCCAGTGGAAGTTCTGGGTGTTTGAAAACAGGGAAGTTTAACAGAAGCCATTTTGTGACTTTAACTATTTGTTCAAGGCATTGATTAAAATACATCAGCCTTAAATTGCTGCTGCATTAAAATACCCCCCGGGGGGTAAAAATACAAGTCTCAATACATTTCAAATCACTGTTTGCTACTTTACCTGCTCAGTTCCAGCCGCACACACTGGGGTCACGTCTGTGCCACTGGAACCTGGCCCACTGAATTTCCAGGTCACTTCTGAAAACCAACCCCAAACCAACAAACCACTATAAATTATAGGAAGAAAATACCAAAATTTTTACCCAATGAATCTGAGTTTTCAAATATACAATTATATACAATCTGAACTGCACCATTAGGCTTTTAGAAATTGCTCTGTTCATTTGAACAAATCCCTTGGGCTCCTTTTGCTTTGTTATTTTTCCATCTTTATTGCCTGAAATGTATTTATTTTGTTTCATTACGCTGTGCTTTTCGTTGCCATTTCCGAGACAAGCAAACATATGGATTCTGTGCTTTTCCAGGGAATTTAGTCAGAGGGAAGCCATCAGCTGGGAGCACAGTGAACAAAATTGCCAGTGGGATGATGGATATCTCCTGACAAGCTAAAAAGCAGATGGCTTTTGTTTCTATTCCAACCCAGACAGCAGAGAAAACTCAAACTGCAATATTTTAAACCACTAAGGTTATTCTAAATAAATGTGATTTCTATTTAGATGATCAGCCCAGAAAAATCAGGAACTTTTTAAAACTGGGTTCATCTACCTTTGAAAATAAAAATACTGCAGTATTTTAATTGAAAGGAATCAATAGTATGTGTTACCCACTCCCCACTTTCTTCTCTTATTTTTTTTAAACAACAATCTAATAACGAATCCTTAACTAAGAGGTGACCTCTTACCTCTAAAATCCCATCTCTAAATAGGATTATGGGCTCAAACATTTTCTTCACAGTTTCCTTCTTTGAAGAAACCTCTGAAGTTTTCAAATAATAGGATAACCTTAAAGGGCTTTGAACAACAAATGACAACTTGCCATGAAAAATAGGGGGGGGTATTACTAAAGTGCCTATTTTGTATAAAAGGTCAGTGCTTCTGATGTTGGTAGAGCAAAAGACACTGTTTTAGCCAAACAAATCCCAAAATTAATGAGGATTTCAAGGCCGAGGAATGTCTGCTCTGTCCAGTCAGAGCAGCAGGGAGCTGTACTGTCCACATTGCACCTTTCTTGCTGCAGCTCCTGAATTAGTTTAGTGGGCCACGAAAAGCTCTTGAAGAGGTATTGGCGTCAGATGTGGAAGGAATGTGGTGGAGCTGCCCATATATCCAACACTAACCAGCTCCACAAAAGCCTCTGGAGCAGACCAAGATTAGAGCTTTTATATCCTCAAAGACACCTTTAAGACCAGAGCAGTTTGTGCTGGTTTCTAAATAAAATGGCAAAGAGTTCATTCCTGCTGCCATAGGAACTCCCTCTCCCTACAACACCAGCTCCTGGCGGACACAGTTTGGGTGCCACTTTGGGACAACCCCACTGAGGTCTCTCCTCTTCTATATTTATGTTTCCACACATGACTCTGCACATTATGGGATCTCAGGGTTGTTCCTACTCTCTAGAGACAGAAGAAAAGTGGTGAGGAAAGATAAATGTGCCAATTTTTCAGCAGTTTTATGACCCAAACTCCTTTCTCTGTGTCCTGCGGCACAATATTATCGACCTGATCTCTGCCACGGAGCAGGTTTGGATCAGATTGTCTGTTCTCTTATCAGTCTTTGCTCTAATTTGCCTGGTTATTTGGAGCCCTTGTACTCACAATTCAACACACTCCAAGTCAACTTGGCATAAATGGATTATTTATCAATTTATGATAACTGCTGGCAGCCAGGCAAATATCACTCGCTTATAAAATGCCTCCAAAACCCTGAGGAAAAAGTGGCTGGAGGGTGTTTCTGCATCCCTATGGAAAATAAGGGCTTTATTCCTACATAGTTACAACTAGGGAAAGCTGGAAGTGCTTTGCACAGTTAGACCAAGCTCTGCAACTGCCTTAATTCCCACACGACCAGGCGATAACCCAGCGCTCACCACCCTGTGCCAAGGGCAAACATCCTGATTTCCTTGCCAGCCTCAGCACCAAAGCAGGACAGGATTTCTTTTCCTTCACACTCACAGAAAACTGGCTTTTTGCAAGCTGCAAATTTAAACTTGTACAACTTTGCATGATGTCATGCAAAGCAATCAGATTTCCAGTGCACATATTCTTTGGGGGATGCTTTCTAAAAAGAAGGTGATGTTTTTACTCCTAAACTCATCCATTCCCAGTTAATCAGAAGCATCGGAATCACTTCAAATGTGTAAATATCATTTAAATTATTATTGCCCCGTGTCCCTGTGCTCTGCTTGCTCTGCAGGAGCTCTGTGTTTAACCAGGTGAGCACTGACAACACTGGAAATTTGGGGGTTGACACGACGTGAACAAAGAAACTGGAGATTTAATATGACTGATTCATCTCTTGTTGCCACTTGATGTCTGAGGACTTTTCATACCAGAAACCCGCGTGCTTTAATTACAATTGCACTGTGCACTGTAATAACTCCCAGTTAAACCCTTCAGCTGCACAAATGAGTGGTTATCACACCTTTTCCACACTGAAATGAGAGGTAATTGCAGTTACATCACCCTGAGCACAAAAGGGTTTTTTTTTTTTGAGTAATTAATCGGCGATGCTGCCTAAATTACCCATTTCATGGACAGATGAAGACTAAGGAGTGTGTCAAAAATCTCTGCCAGGGGGAGTCATACAAATATGAACCCACACAGCACTATAGAAATGCTAAGTACTAAACACTTTCCTATGAATGGGGCTGATGCAGAACACACCAGACTGGCCTTTTGAATAATTTCACATGTTTTTGATAATTTCTCAATGAAATAAATAACAAGACCACTTCCTATATACTTCATACAATCTACATTATGGTTCTTTGGTTTTCTTAAGGAAGTTCCACACAAACGAGATAAATAACTTTCACATATTTGTTTCCCCCAGTCAAGTTTTAATAAAGAAAATTCATTAGTTTCATTTAATCAATAAATGAAATTAAACTGACTGCTTATGATCAGTGAATGTCCCTCAGAAAGTCACCTGGAGTAATGGTAAGAACCATTCAATATGTGGCTAATTTTAATCCCCCTCAGAAGGCCAATAATGAAAAGAACAAGACCAATCAAGGACAGCAGTAATTGAGATATCCATGGGTAAATAATGGATCCATTTTTATCCCACATTCCCAAGGCTTGCCCTAACTGGAAAAGTACTACAGGCTCACAAGTCAGAATTTATGATGAGACACTATCTATGACATGTTGAGATAAATTCCACCCTGTAGTTCTGATTATTCCATATTTCCAGACTAGAGACAGAACTCAAATACCCTTTGAAGCTGTAAAATTCCTGCTCCTGGTGTTTTACTCCCAGGTTTACTGCTCATTCTGTTGAGACTGCGAGTCAGAGATCCCACATCACTCTGATTTTCAAACATGTTTCAGCTTTTGGTGAAAGTCACCCTTAATTTAAGTGCCGTGTCAGAAGTGGCTCCTCTTTGGGAAAATTCAGCAAACCCACCATTATTTTTGTTGAATTGCCTTCAGAAAAAGTAGAATATGACCCTTTGAGAGAAGCCTTGTGATGGCAGCATCAAGATTATCTTACCTCCCTTCTTCATAAGTGTGGAAAAATCGATGAGCTTGACTAAATTAATTTACTTCCACCTCAGCTCTTGTCAATACAAACAAATTATTCTACCTGGAGCTCTGTGCAGGGAGGTGCAGATACAGTCAATAACTCAGCAGGAAATGCTGCCTCAAAACTGAAGCTTTTAGGTGTCTAAATCCCTGTCCCAAAGTCTGGATGTTTGGTATGTAATGCACAGGTCACTTCTGGGTTGGTTTTCTAGAGCTGTGAACACCAACCCCCCTCCCCTCCTACCATCCCAGTGCACACAAGGACACCCAGGCCAATTGTAGCTGTCCAGACCCCAGGATTGCTTCCCTCCTGGAAAGTACCTTTGCCATTGGGATATGAAGTTATATTCCTGTATTCTTAGTGCAGCAATCCCATTGCTCCTCTTCACAGCAAGAGGTGATTTATGGGGCCTGTAAATGCCATTTTTGGACATACAAAAAGACAGAGGAACTCCAACTCTCCCGCTTTCTCAAATGCATCCTTTAAGTCACTGTATAAAAGCAGCCAGTGCTGTTCTCTGCTTTAAGAGAGTTTGATCCAATTGCCCAGGACCAGAAAGACAACTGAGGAGTCAAGAAGCAATACAATAAATAGCTCTGGATTTTAACCCTCCAACACACCTAAGTCAATTTCTTTTAAAAGAAATTTAAGAACTGTTGAAATGAAAGAATTGTTGGTATTTACATCACCCTGAATGCTTAAGACACCCCTCATGCCTTTGGATTTCGACATTAATCAGTCTCACAACCGAGTCTCTCAATTTAACGTCTTTCGAACGCAAAGAGTCTCGCTGCCACCAAAACCAACTCTGCCGAGGGAGAAACCTTCAGTGTGCAGAAGGCATTGTGACTGACACACTTCTGGCTGAGGCAGTGGCACTGCTGATCCAGGAAGGAGTGGACTGCAGATCTCCCAGGACCTTGTGTGGTTCTTGGACAGCCCCGGGGCTGGGGCTGTGCTCTCAGCAGCTCATGGGACACAAAGGGAACTCAGCCTTGGGGCCCATGGGCTGCTCTGAGCAGCTTTTGGGGAAAATAAGCATCAAAAGGACAGGGGAAAATTCTGAAGTTTATCTTGTCCTTCAGGAAACTGCAGACCCATGGAAATCAATGAAACGAAGATCACTCACAGCTCCACAGGCTCAAACCTACTGCTTGCTGAGGGAATATTCCCAAACTTCCAGGATACCACAATCGACAAGAATTCCTCTCCCTCCCAATGGCTCAGGGGCAGATAAATCTCCATCCCAACGGAACCAGAGCTCAATTCTATTGCCTTCTGTGGAGTAATGATTTTGTCTGAGGTGTTTAAGCTCAGTCATGTCTGGAAGTGCCTCCCTGAGCCCTTCCATCCATCCTGATGCCTCAGGCCCTCAGCTCATGTCCTGCAAACAACCCAACCCGGCCACAACCACCTGGTGCTATTTCCCTCTTATCCAAGCGGCAGAAAAAACAACGGGTTTGTTTGGTTTGTTGCCATTTAATTATTAAAATGAGGGAGCTCTTTTCCCCCAGATCTCCATCAAGTTCAACATTTCAGGAATTGCTTTAATTTAATGGGATGTAAAACGCAAGCCTGGTAGCGCAGACCAAACACAATCATTAAATTATGGAGTTTGGAAAATTACAATTTATTCCTTCTGTTCTGTCTGCCAAGAGCACAATGGAGGGCAGAGGGGAGAGGAGGAGAAAGTGTATCCTTATATTTGCATCATCAGAAGAGAATGAAAGGACAGTGGTGACACAGGGGGAGTTCTGTCCACCTCTGCCCTGCAGCTGGGGGATGTGGGAAATCACTCCCAAAGCACCTGAACACCTGCATTTTAGCCTGACCTAATACCAGAACAGAAATTATTGCTCCAACATGAGCCAGACTCAAGTGTCACTAAATGTCACTGTCAGATGTTATTTTTCCCTTGCCAGAAATGTGCCCAATTAACATAAAACCCAGACATTTAACATTCAGATGAATTAAATAATTAGGTAGCTAATGCAAATATCAGCTTGACACTATTAACCCTGCTTTGTACCACAAAATTTAGATCCCCTTCAGACTAGGACTTTCTGGTGGTTTGTATGTAGAGTATCACAAATACCTGTTTCCAGACTCTGTCATGATTTGTTGGAAACCCCCTCCTTTTCCTGGGATCTCCAGTCCCCAGAGAATCCCTGAGTGAGCATCTCCCAAACCCTCTGCAGCTCTACAGCCTTGTAAATCACAGCTGCAAGTTCCTGACCCCACTGGAATCAGAGACTCGGGATGGCAGAGTTTGCAAAGTAGGAAACAAGAAATTTAGCTGGAAGTCCAGGAGAAGGGGAGGGATCTACCAAGAATAAACTCCTTTTGCACCAGAAAAATTGAATTAGACCTTATTCCAAGAGCAGATTCCTTTTTCCTGAGGAGAGAAAGCTTCATTGCCTGGGCAGGAGGGCTCACATCCCATTAAAAGCTGTCCTGGACACCCTGTGGACACGTGGAATTGATGGTGTTCCAGCCTTGTTTACCGGGAACAAACCCCCGCAGATATCAATCCTAGGAAGTGCCATGTCTGTGCTGGGGCTCCTGCTGGGGGATGTCGCTCTCTTAAATAATTAAAGATGAAGGATCGTTTCTCTGTTGGTAATTACCTTAAAAAAATGGGATATTTGGAAGTGTAGTCCTTGAAAGCACGTCCTCCTCATTACCCAAGAAAAGATGACACTGGATGGAGTTGGAAGGACTATAAAATACTCATTCTTGCTATAATGTCCTTAAAAAGGTGCTACCTGAGCATCTTCCAAGTTACCTGGGGACTGGAAAATGGAATGGGAGAAAACCTAGACTAGATTGGGTCCTGGACCTGGAATGGGGAAAAGCTTTTGTTTCCATGACTGTTCCAACAAGCTGGACCTGGAATGTTTGGTCAGGACCCCTGGAATGCTTCCCTTTTAGGAGCACATTGTGTACAATGTATTGTGCAGCCCTCAGGGAAAGAGGGGAGACAGGAAGGAATCACTTTGGTTATGACCTGACACATCCTGGATGTGCCATGAGAGTACAAACCAGGAGAAAATATGGCACAGCTTGGATTTTAATGCAGGATAAATATATATAATGAATAATAATTAAAATAAATGCAGGGGAAAACATTTTAAGCACCTGAAAACCCCTCTTCTGAGCAACTTTAGATTGAAAGTGCCTGTATTTTCCAGCCCAAGGTGGCTTTCTTCCCACTCACACCCACGAGGGCACAGCAGAGGACAATCCCTTCCAGCAAAGCTCTAATTGCAGGTTCTGCCAGAGTGAGGGATCTCCTTCCATGAGAGAGGGAAAGGCAAACCCCATGGCCCGAGGTGTCAGGGCATTCACTGCCATGCAGAATGGCCCTCACTCCCAACAGCCCCTCATTAGCAGCACAAAGTGCCACGATAAAGAATTCCAATGCATCTGAGCCAACCACCCCTCCCAATGGTGCCAGGCACAGTTTCTGATGTTAAATAATATATTTTCTCCCACACAGCAGCAGAACATCTCAGCGACTTTCAAGCCTTTGGAAAAATCCCAGTGTCTGAGCAATTCCCATCATATCAAAGAACATTTTTAATACCAGCTGGAGGAAAGGGGTCACTCGTTGCTGGTAGTTTCCACCATCAAAGCGGGTATAATTTGATTTATGTAAACCACGCAGTGCAACTCTTCTGAGAGCACAGAGCCCCCAACATGACATAAACCACTCACCAGAATCCACAAAAACACTCAAGGAGTGTTTGGAAGTGAATCACTGGAAGCCATGTACAAACTGCTTTATCTCTAAACCCATTAGTTTACACACCCTTGTACTTTGAACACGCTCCTCAGATTGATACCCCTCAGCCAAATAATTGTTTTTATGCTCTGAACCAAGAAATTCCCTATACTGCCAAGTGTGCTCCTGGCTAAAGATGGCACAGAGGATATTTCAAGATTTCAGATTGTGGCTCCTCTTACTTGATGGGAA